TAGGCAGATTTATAGAATAGAATGTTTGGAAAAAAGAAAGATACACGTGGATTATTTTGTTCTAATGTGTAAAACATGTTTTAGACATGTTTAGACATGTTTAGACATACTACACAACACTAAATATATGATGAATAGCTCATGCTTAGTGTTAGAGATGATTGTATCATTAATTACACTGAGCCCCCTAAGTACAGGAAACAGATCATGCCATGGGGGAATATAATCGCTATACTTGGCAATAATATGGATGTTAAAGGGACACTATAGTCATGACAACAACTACAGCTTAATGTAGTTGTTCCGGTGTCTATAGCATGTCCCTACTGGCCTTTTGGTGTAAATACTGCCTTTTCAGAGAAAGGGCATTGTTTAAATTACTGCCTAGCAAAACCTCCAGTGGGAGTCACTCAGATGGCTACTAGAGGTGCTTCCTGGGTCAGTTCTGCACCAACTCTGCTCTGCATGGAGGGCCTAAAACCTCCCCATAGAGATTAATTGATTCACAATGAGATGCTGATTGGTGCACCATTGCATTTTACCTATGGGAAAGCAATGGATTGGCTGAGATCATCACTTTTGATGATCTCAGGCAAAGAGACAGAGCCAGCCACAGTGGACCCTCTCAGTGCTGGAATTGCATTTTACCTATGGGAAAGCAATGGATTGGCTGAGATCATCACTTTTGATGATCTCAGGCAAAGAGACAGAGCCAGCCACAGCGGACCCTCTCAGTGCTGGAATTTCATTTTACCTATGGGAAAGCAATAGATTGGCTGAGATCATCACTTTTGATGATCTCAGACAAAGAGACAGAGCCAGCCAGAGCGGACCCTCTCAGTGCTGGAATAAAGGTGATTTTTTTTCCTTTTAAGAAGGCCAAGTAGGGGGCCAGCCACATAAAATGGGTTTTTAAAACTTTAGTGTTAGGAGTACATGTTAACACCGTAATGCTCGTCTGGTTGTTTAGGTTCACAGCCCCCCTTAGATCTCAGTGAAAAGGTGATTTTGCTTACCTTTTATTTCCATGCCATGCCTGTATCACCGCAGGTGGCCCCACCTGGCCCAGATCATTATGATAATCTCAGTCAATCCAATGCTTCCCCATTGGATGATCTCAGTCAATGCAATGCTTTCCAATTGGAAAAAATGCCACGCCGAGCCAATCCATATCTCCTTATGTAGATGCATTAAATTAATGCATGTCGATGGAAAATGTTCAGCGTCTCCATGCAGAGCGTGGAGTCACTGAATGAAGTGCTTCGAGTGGCTGTGTGACTGAATGCCACTAGAGTTCTTACTAGACAGCAATGTAAGCACTGGATTTAAAAGGCCTGCCAGGACAGGCTATAGACACCAGAACCACTACATTAAGCTGTAGTTGTTATGTGATTTATATTTATCTCTACTGCTCATCTCGCCCCAGTAAATGCTTCAATAACATTTACAGGAGCGAGTAATGGATCTGCTTGAAGGCTATGGACTGAGTAAGAAAAGTAAGTATTTACTCTGCTTATTGAATAGCCATTCCTCCATTGTTATCTGAGGGGAAATTGCTGTTCAGTAAGCAGAGTACCTACTTTGCTAAGGGAATTGAGTTGTTAAGTGCACTGCTGAAATGCAAAAACACATTAAGTGTATGATTTTCCAATAGAATAAATAGAATTAAAAAAAATTCAAGAAACCACTAAAAATTTAAGAAACCACTGTGGTACTCCGCAGATGTGGCCAAAATAATTAAAAACAAAAAGTTAGCATTTAGGAATTATAAAAAAACCCAGAGTGAGGAAGACAAAATGATCTATAAGATTAGGCAGAAAGAGGCTAAGCAAGTTAAGAGCTTCCAAATCACACACAGAAGAGAAAATAGCACAGTCAATTACAAAGGGAGATAAAACATTTTTTAGATACATAAATGAGAAAAGAAAAGTAAAACAAGGATTAAAAACAAAAGAAGGAAGGTATGTAGAAGAGGATAAAGGTCTAGATGACTGCCTCAATTAATATTTTTGTTCTGTATTTACAGATGGAAATGAAGGAAAGGGACCTCAGTTAAGAAAAAGGATAAATTAGTCATTTATTGCACGTGAGTTTACAGAAGAAGAGATTCTATTTCAACTGTCAAAAGTAAAGACAAATAAGTCAATGGGACCTGATGGAATACACCCAAAGCTATTAAAAGAGCTTAGTGGTGTACTAGCAAAACCATTAACAGATTTATTTAACCAAGCATTGTTAACAGGAGTAGTCCCAGAAGATTGGAAGTTATCGAATGTTGTGCCCATTTACAAGAAAGGTAATAGTGAGGAGTTGGGCAAATAAAGGCCAGTAAGCCTTACTTCAGTAGTGGGGAAAGTGATGGAAACCATGTTAAAGGATAGGATTGTTGAACATCTAAAAACACATGGATTTCAAGATCAGAGACAACATGGGCTTACTTCAGGGAGATCATGCCAAACCAATCTTATTGATTTTTTTGATTGGGTAACTAAAATTATAGATCAGGGTGGTGCAGTAGACATTGCTTACCTAGATTTCAGTAAGGCTTTTGACACTGTTGCACATAGAAGGCTTATCAATAAACTGCAATCTTTAAGTTTGGATTCCAATATTGTTGAATGGGTAAGGCAGTGGCTGAGTGACAGGCAACAGAGGGTTGTAGTTAATGGAATATATTCGAAGCTTGGACTTGTCACCAGTGGGGTACCTCAGGGATCTGTACTGGGACCCATTCTCTTTAATATTTTTATTAGTGATATTGCAGAAGGTCTTGATGGTAAGGTATGTCTTTTTGCTGATGATACTAAGATATGTAACAGGGTTGATGTTCCAGGAGGGATAAGCCAAATGGAAAACGATTTAGGTAAAGTAGGAAAATGGTCAGAATTATGACAACTGACATTTAATGTGGATAAGTTCAAGATAATGCATCTTGGACGTAAAAACCAAATGGCAGAGTACAGAATATTTGATAGAGTCCTAACCTCAACATATGAGGAAAGGGATTTAGGGGTGATTATTTCTGATGACTTAAAGGTAGGCAGACAATGTAATAGAGCAGCAGGAAATGCTAGCAGAATGCTTGGTTGTATAGGGAGAGGTATTAGCAGTAGAAAGAGGGAAGTGCTCATGCCATTGTACAGAACACTGGTGAGACCTCACTTGGAGTATTGTACACAGTACTGGAGACCGTATCTTCAGAAGGATATTGATACCTTAGAGAGGGTTCAGAGAAGGGCTACTAAACTGGTTCATGGATTGCGGGATAAAACTTACCAGGAAAGGTTAAAGGATCTTAACATGTATAGCTTGGAGGAAAGACGAGACAGGGGGGATATGATAGAAACATTTAAATATATAAAGGAATCAACACAGTAAAGGAGGAGACTATATTTAAAAGAAGAAAAACTACCACAACAAGAGGACATAGTCTTAAATTAGAAGGACAAAGGTTTAAAAATAATATCAGGAAGTATTACTTTACTGAGAGGGTAGTGGATGCATGGAATAGCCTTCCAGCTGAAGTGGTAGAGGTTAACACAGTAAAGGAGTTTAAGCATGCGTGGGATAGGCATAAGGCTATCCTAACTATAAGATAAGGCTAGGGACTAATGAAAGTATTTAGAAAATTGGGCAGACTAGATGGGCCGAATGGTTCTTATCTGCCGTCACATTCTATGTTTCTATGTTTCTAGATAATGATGTTTCTTTGGTTAAAAATAAATAACATAGCCCCATTAAGTTTTCATGTCTGACAATAAAAATTGACCCCTACCCTAAGCATCCCTAAACCAAACTAACTTTGTGCTCCAATTGGTCACATTACCAAACTGTGGACAGCAATTCCCAAACTGAAATAAAGCTTGACTCTTTAATTCAACATTTACGTGTTGATTTTTTTGAAAATGAATCTTTTTTGGTAAGTGTTTTAGTGGCGTTTTTCCTAGATTAGTATGAATCATCTTGCTTTTTTGGATTCTGAGTTGTATTTCTGTTGATTTATTTTGAATTCTCCCATTAAACTATTAAATAATGAATCCAATTGGATTTTAATGAATGTGTTCCTGTTTGTGCTTTAAATCTAATTTGTTTATTGTACACGCATTGTATAATTCAAATGCAAATTCTCAGTTTATTGAATAATGCCAGAAGTGTTTAAATCACTAGCGGAAAATGCATGTAATGCCTCCGTGGCATGCAGGCATACAACTCAACCCTTTCTTCAAACATTTGCCACTCAAAAGCTTACTGAGCATAAAACTGATTCTTTATTGTCCTGATTCAACAAAAGGAGCTTGAATTCTACAACAGCAAAGGTCAAAACTGGATTGTAAATAGCAAGTTTAGAACTGCGCAGATCTAGATCAGCAAATAACAACCCCCTCTACTGTTACATTCACTGTGACAGATATGATAATGTCCATCATTCTTTTGATCTATACCCTTTTCAATGAGACAGTGTTAGTGTGAGTGCAATACACATGTGATCACTCAAGGTAATCAGTGTTTATGTAAACTAAACATGTTTATCAATGCCTACAACAAAGATCTAAGGTGTAAGCGGATTACGTAATGTTTTGAATTTCCTGATTACATCAGGAGCATCCATTTAAATTCATTCATTAACACATTTTGTATTTTTGATTAACTTTGATGGCACAAATGTCCTTATGCTGTTGTCTGTCTGTGTATTTTTCTTGTAAAACAAACATAGGATACATTTTATCACCATTATAATAAAACAACAAACAAAATTGCTGGTGTAAAATAACTTTGTCTTTTGTAGGCTATTTCCTGCTATTGTTTATGAATGTTTGGTCAGTGTCTTTTCTAAGCGCAAAAAGCAAAGGGGGTGGGGGGTGTATTCTACTGTAACTAATAGAACATGTATAAATGCACTTTGTTTGTCCTAATTATATATATTTTGTAATCAAAATTAGTTGTTCTTACAGAATATAATCTTTGCGTTTTGGCATGATGGTGTGTTTTAAGGAATCTGGCCTAAATTAAGGTTCATTGGACAACATCTTATAGCAACAATGTGGATGAGGTTATAGGTATGAAAAATAAAGGCTAGGTATTTCAGCCCCTATAACATTATAAACACAGGTTAAAGGTTTTTTTTTTTTGTTTTTTTTTTCAGAACACAGATTTATGCCATTAAAGTATCTGATGTTAAAAACAATAAGAAAGGGAGTGGGTATGTTTAGGGATATACATTGAGGTTGACTGATCTCCAGGTAGCCATTTCTGCTTATTTTAAATGTAGTACTTAGTAAAATGATCCTGTAACAACCCTAAGTCAATGACATCTTCAAACCTTATGTTGAGTAAGTGTGCCATTTGCTAGGTGCACCATTTGCTTAATATAACCTATTCAGTGAAACACTCTCTAAAAAAAGAAGCTTTTGTGTCACGCTAATGTAATAGTATAATTTTTATTTGAAGATTGAGAAGATGTCAACTTAAGTAAAATGTTTTCTGGCAGGTCACCTGAAGTAAAATGGTAACTGTAAAATGATAATCCCTTTAGGTCTAATTCACTGAATATATCAACAGTCAAAAGGGTTAGCCAGATATACCGGGTAAGACTGACGTCATGGTCGTAAAGAATTAGCATATTCAATAATAGATAGCGACTATTCTTTTCAGGACTTTAAACTAAGCCATATACTGGCATTTAATTTCAGAAATTGTTACGTGATTAATGATTAAATACAATTCATAGGAATGTAAAACAATGGGAAAAAGAAGGAAAAAACAAGTATGTAGGTACATTCTATATCCTGCATTTCAAGGTACAAAATTAGCCTATATTATACACTATATAAATGCATCCCAAAAGAGTGCAAAATACATTTATAACATAAGAAATAAATATACCTAGCCTACATGGGGCTCCTCTTAAAATGACAAGAAACATAAAAAGCCACACAAATACACTTAAAGGATCACTAAAGTCACTCAGATCACTTCATCTCAATTAAGTAGTGTGAGTGCAGTAGTCCTGTCATTTTAACCCTGCGATGTAAAACATTACAGGTTTTGTTTTCAGGGCCCTATTTAAAGGACCACCATAGTGCCAGGAAAACAAACTCCTTTTCCTGGCACTATAGTGTTAATAGGTCCCCTCCACCCTCATGGCCCCCCTCCCGCCGGGGTGAAGTGGGAGGAAGGGGTTAAAATCTTACCTCTTACTCTCCACCTCCTTCCAACGTCATCAGCTGAATGCGCATGCGCGGCAAGAGCCACGCGCTCATTCAGTCAGTCCATAGTAAAGCATTTCTCAATGCTTTCCTACGGACGCTGGTGTCTTCCCACTGTGAAAATCACAGAGAGAAGCGTGGAAGCGCCTCTAGCGGCTGTCATTGAGACAGCCACTAGAGGCTGGATCAACCCATATGTAAACATAGCAGTTTCTCTGAAACTGCTATGTTTACAGCAGGCAGGGTTAACCCTATATGGACCTGGCACCCTGACCACTTCATTAAGCTGAAGTGGTCTGGGTGCCTATAGTGGTCCTTTAACCTTTCCCTGCAGAGAGTCCCAGGAGGAAGCAGTTCCAAAGTAAGTGGAAGTGGAGGAGCAGACATTAGATTGCTAGAGAAGGACCTGCCAAGGTCGGCTTATGCAATGTATGATCATATACTGTAACTAAACCCCCATTATTTTTTGCCTAGGTAAGCTGTTTCTAATTAAAAATATTACATTCTGTGAGACTTGAAATTGTTTTTTAGTGAATGAGTGAATGTGCTGGGTCTTGTATGTTGTATGAATTGGCCACAGCAGCACCCTATAATACATGAATGCTCAAGTGAGTGTAGCCCTCTTGGTTTCATATACAATGCAGGATTATAACCACCTCTAGTGGCTGACTTCCAGACGCTTCCACTGCATTGAACGAAAAAAACTCAGTTACATAACGCAATAGCTCATGGGATGCCAATATATACTTCTACCCTGGGTGCCGTAACCTAGGTACACCTCTGCTTTATAAGAGAGGCTAACGGGTTAGCCTCTATATAAGTTCAAAGCGAGTTTTAAATTTAAGGCCAGAGTAGCTAAACTGGTTTAGAGATTTCTCCCACCTGATTATTTTAACTTTATACTTGAAATTTACTTTTAGTTCTCACTTTAGTGAATAACTCTGTTATTCTCATTATTCAGTGCTCTGTTAGGAATCCTACTTAGAAAAGCAGCTCTGTGAATAGTGGTATCAGCATGCCGCAGACCAAACACAGAGAGGTGGTCTCACTAAATACAGACAGCCATAAAGACACATGCTGATACCATTAGCGAGTAGACTTGCAGCACTGGACCTGTGAAAGCTTATTGCAGCCATGGGTGTGAGAACCGGGGTCGGGGGGGAGGGGGAGAGGCGTCGATGAATCCACACCAGAAAATGATCAGATAGATAAGAAAAACTAAATATATTTAAATAGATGGTTATCCCATTCTACTAATCTACTTCCTAGTGACAATATATAATTTTACTTGTAGAAAACGGAAGATAATTCTTATGCTCCCTAAGTGGGGCAGTAATCACTGCCCCACTATTTTCTGTGGTTCCTGCGCTGTTGATTTCAGCCTTAGTATGGACATTAGTGGGTTTATAGAATAAGAAAAAACTCCATATACCAGAATGAGATACTCTTCTATTCCGGGGGTTAGAGTTGAGTCCAACTGTACCTGCAGGCAGACCCACTAAACAGTATATCTTTTTGTTTTTTTGCATTATTTTTTTCATGCATTAAATGATTGTTTAATGCATTGAAAAATATAGAAATAATTCAGAACTGCCAACTTTGGCAGGTCTGATATTGGGAGAGCAATAGGTTGACATGTGCCAGGGAGAGGTGTGTGACTGTGACACAATCAGTATTAGGAAAGATTTGCTCACCAGAAAGGAGGTTGCGTTATCCAGGCACAAAGGCGTGCCATGATGGCAGGGTGTACTCATGCTGAGTACTGTACTCACTAGATGACAGAGCAGATCTATCTGCTGAACAGGAGCATTATTATAGTATGGTATGTCACATGAAGCATGTGGCTTGACAGATCTGGGTCACCCCTTCACCCCCCTTTACTTGTTTCCCTTTATCTGTACATATTATGAAACATATAATAAAAGATTATATAAACTGAGTATCTTATAAAAGATAGAAAGCACTCCCTACTAGTTTAGTGGATAGATAAAAAATGTTGTGCTAAATTTAGACCAAAATAAACTAAATGGAAACATTTTAAATATTTTCCCAACTCGCTACTTCAGCCTGAAGTTAGAAACTTGATTTTGAAATTCACAGTTTAGTGAATACTGGCTTTTAGAAGTTCACAAGTCTGTTTTATTAAAACCTTGACATTTAAAAATAAAATAGAGCAACTCTTTCCTTCATTGTAAAATCTCCACAGAAACACGCCCCACTGTGTAAATCCATTACCATTAACTCGCTGTTTTAAAACCAGTTATTTTTTGTCTGTGATACAGGTTTTCTTTAGAAACTGCACAAAGCAAAAAAAATTAAAATAAAAAAAAAAAATTAAAAAAAAAAAAGGAAATTAATTGCAATAATAACATCCCACTTTAAATAAAAATTTAAATATTTAGATCTGCTTTCTAGCAAAATAATGAGAGTAGACTATTGGGTAATGATAAGGTGATTCACCCCAGGTATTTCTGAGCATAACATACAATCACCAATCGAACGCTGCACATGATTAGCCAATGGTGAATGAGTCACATTTGACTAATGAAAATACTTTCTCTGCGGCTAAATAGGAGAGCCAATCAGAGAGGAGTCTCTCTGGGCAAATCGATGATGACAGTCTGAGCAGCCAATGGGGTGCAAGCAGTTGCAAAATGCAAGTGTAATTCAAGATAACTAGAGTGTGGGCTGCCTTAGAGAGGAATGGAGAGAAGAGCAGCAGAGCTGCAGGGCTGCTCTAACACATTGTGCTCCAGATTACCTGCCTTCCATCTGAGCTGATACAAGGGATCGGCAGGGTTAAACTCCCTCTCCCTTTATTGCTGGAACCTCTTTGATACATGTGTAGCAGATGAAGTGAATTCCTCTGTGTGGGAGAGCTGCCTGTCACCTCACTCTGCCTGTGAGGAGAGCTTGAAGCAGCAGAAATAAGCAGACAAGGAAGAAGCCATGAGAGAATACAAAGTAGTTGTTCTGGGATCAGGCGGGGTGGGGAAATCAGCACTGACTGTACAGTTTGTCACTGGATCTTTCATAGAGAAATATGACCCCACCATAGAAGACTTCTACAGGAAGGAGATCGAAGTGGACTCCTCGCCCTCGGTGCTGGAGATACTGGACACTGCAGGCACAGAGCAGTTTGCCTCTATGAGAGATTTGTACATTAAGAATGGACAAGGCTTTATACTGGTTTACAGCCTGGTGAATCAACAGAGCTTCCAGGACATCAAGCCCATGAGAGATCAGATCATCAGGGTGAAAAGGTATGAAAAAGTGCCCATGATCCTGGTGGGCAACAAGGTAGATCTGGAAGGGGAAAGGGAAGTTTCCTATGGAGAAGGCAAAGCCTTGGCTGATGAGTGGAACTGCCCCTTTTTGGAGACTTCAGCCAAACATAAAGCCTCTGTGGATGAACTGTTTGCAGAGATTGTTAGACAGATGAACTATGCTTCCCAGCCCAATGGGAATGATCAGTGCTGCTCCTCTTGTGTCATTCTCTGAGAAACCATTCCCTTGTTTACAAATGCACTATTTGACTTGTAACATGATTGGAAACAACTTTGCATACAGTGATTGCGTTTTACAGTTCCAAAAGGGTGTGTTTGCCCTGAGATATCAATCTGAAGAAAGTGGCTTTCGTTTATGTGCTCTTATATTATTTTTTTTTTTTTTTTTTTTTTTAAGGAATGCACATACCACCCTGACCCTGGAGAGTTCAGAACAAACCCGTTTTGGAGTAGTCTGTCTGTTGAAAGTAGGAGGAAGAGGGATGGAGTTTATTATACATTTGTCCTGACTGGTCTTTTTAAAATGCACATTTGGAAGAGTGCAACATGAGGCCCAGCCCCAATCCAGGCCCACTGGAAACTCCTAAGACCTAGTGTGTTTACCTACTGACTGTCATTTTAGGTCCTGGGTGGTAATCCTTGGCGCCCACATGTTTGGGAACTGCATTTACACGCCCATTAGGCACAGCCAGCAATGGCGATCATCAAGAAAAAAAAAACCACACAGTTCACAAACATCTGGGGTTGCCAAGGTTACTCAGCACTGTTTGGTATTTCTATGCAAAGTTGGATTATTGTTACAAAGTATCCATTCATACGTATTGCACATATAAACGATGCCAACTCAGTACGAGTGCCAACTGTGTGTGGTACCCTGCGGATATTGTGTGTGTATGTGTGTGGGACGGGGGAAATCTATTTTGTTTACCTGCTGTATCAAATGGGAATTTTGGGGGAAGATATGTAGTATTTTTATCTTATGAGCTGTGAAAATGTTACTGATTATTTTTTGTTTTGCTGGCAATAATTGATTTGTGATGCCTAGTTATTTAATATTCAGTGAAATGACTTTAAATGTATGCCAGGGCCACCAGCACCCTGTGTCCTTAGAGTGCCTTCAAAACTCAGCTGTTGCAGCCGTGCCAACCTGTGAAAATCTCTACAAAATCCCATTATCCAATATTCAGCAAACTACTTAACAGTTTCCTTACAGTAATCACACTGAACAAGCATGGACAAAGGGATGTATTGTCCCCAGAACCTATTTCTGAGCCTGTAAATGTAATTTCCATGTTTTTTTTTATATTGGAGGAGGGGTGGGGGCTTGAGTAACCCTTTCAGGTTTGCCAACCCCTCCCTGGAAGGAGAAGTGTAAGCAAACAGGAAGTTTATTTTATTTTTATTTAAATAAATTTTAAATTCATTTTAATTATTTTTTTTCCATTTCATGGTTTTAATTTTGCCAGCCATGGTTTAACATTGCAAAATGACAGATCTTTAACACTTGTGAAGTACTAAGAATATTAACCATTGTAATTTGATTTCTCAGGGCATGCTCCTAAAGGCATGTCTTTTTTTTTCTTGGTTTTTAAAATCTATTGAATACAAAAATATGTGACATAATTCCATGTGTCTTTTTATGATTATTTTGGGGAAAGGTGATCATGAGGGGAATTTACGGGGTATTTAAGGAAATATTGGCATACAGTATTTCCTTACATAAAGTGCATACTTAATTTACACACTGGTATAACTCAAATGCATTGGGTGAAATACATTATTTATGTATATGGTACCTGATGCATTATTTTTCCATCATAAATTGTGTTTTCTAAATTAGACTTTTTTTTTTTTTTTTTTGCATTTAGTGAATCCTACAGAAGAAAAATCACAATTATTCTATAGTGGTTTGGTGTAACTTTTCCTGCATAGTCGGGCTATTGACAATGGCTTTCACAGCTCTCAGGAATACTTTGTATGAATGTGTTTCATCTGCATAGTGTTCTCTTGCCTGAGTTGGGCCTGTGGATATGTAAGGGTTAAGACTCCTAACACCATGTTTGCCAATATTATTGTGTCTGGATAGCAGGACTAAGTAGGTTTACTGCAGACACTTGATGTGTTCCTCTTCCTGTTTCTGTTCAAAGGGCGGAAACTTCTGTAGTTGAGCCATGCTGTGAAGGGCACTGATATCACTATGGGGCGACATAAATGGCTTTCTCCTTTTGGCAACAAAAAAGGGGTTATTATGAGTCAACAGAAGGAGTAAAGAATCATTCTTACTCTCACACAAATGGTTCAGTGCTGCACGCTGGGAAGGAATACAAATGCATATTCTATCATTTTATAAATAAGAATAGAATTATTTACTAAAGCGAAAATTCAAAGTGAATTTTAAATTAATTTCAAGTTCAAAGGTAAAAATAATCAAACTGGAAACATTCTCTAAGTCAATTATGTTTTCAGATGAGCTAGTTTGGCCTCAACTTTGAAATTCACTTGGAATTCTTTGAGTAACTGTGTCGGTGTTTCTCAAAGTTTCATGGGTTTTTCCCTAATTTTGAAATATTTCCAATATCATATATATTTTGAGGAAAAACTATATATTCTAGCACGTTAAAGGTTTATGGAATGTGGACAATAAGTAACGCATGATTAAAAGGGCCCACAGTTTTATTTATTTTTTTCAATGGGTACAATTCAACATTGCATTCTGTTTATTTTCTATGTGACATTATTTCTGCAAAATGTCTTTACATCTTTTCCTCACAGAAATGTGTATACTTCAAAGGGAAACTATAGGTATCAAAACAACTTTTGCTTAATTAAGCAGTTTTTGTGTATGGTTCATGCCTCTGATGTCTCACTGCTATTTAGGAGTTAAATCACTTTTGTTTCTGTTTATGCAGCCCTAGCCACACCTCCCCTGGCTGTGACTCACACAGGCTGCATGAAAAAAAATGGTTTCATTTTCAATCAGATGCGAAGTTTTATCTCCTGTTCTGTAAATTGAACTTTAATCACACATGGGAGTCAGTGTCTAGAAGGCTATTAACAGAGGAGGATATAAGGAATTCCAAATTCAACAGACCGTGCAATAAAGGAAGCTTAAATATTAGATCTCACTTTACAGTAGGGATCGACCGATTTATCGGTTTTGCCGATATTCGTTATTTTCGGCAATATCGTTATCGGCCAATTCAGATACCGATATTGCCAATAATATAGAACAGGACCGCCAGGATTATTACAAGCCCGGCGGTCCTGGGGGGCCCGCAGCAGGCGTTTACTTACCTCGCAGCAGCTCCCCAGTGTAAGTCTCGTAAGACCCGCGGTCGTCAGAGCGTTGCCACGGGTTACCACGAGACTTGCCGCGAGACTTGAGGAGCTGCTTGGAGGTAAGTAAACGCCTGCTGCCGGCCCCCAAACAGCTCAGCCAATGCCACTGGCCCAAAAGGGACTGCTATATCCCCCCTCCCTTGCCAGGTAACAAGCAGAGAGGGGGGACAAAAAAAAATAATAATAATTAAATATAAATAATAATAATTTAATAAAAAATGCCCCCTCACACACAATCCATTATATACACTACACAAACACACTGTGTATTTAATGCAGTGTGTTTGTATAGTGTGTGTGTATATATAATTAATACACACTATACAAACACACACACTGCATTCACTATACACACACACTACACAAATATACACACTACACACACACTTTGCATTTAGTATATACAGCATTCACTTTATACACACACTGCATTCACTTTACGCACACTACCCACACACTACACAAACACTCTGCTTTCATTATATACACACTACACTAATACACACTGCATCCACTACACACACTAGACAACTACACACTGCATCATCCACTACACACAACTACACAAACACACACTGATCCACTACACAAACACACACAGCTCCCCTGTCTAAACACACTGCATCCACTACACGTGGCATGTATATTTTGTGCATTTACCTTTTAGAAATAGTTTTTATTTTCCAAAATGGTAAATGTACAGAATATCTGCAAATTATATCGGCTATCGGCCTGAAAGTTCACAGAATATGGTATCTGCTCTACAAAATCAGTATAGGTCGATCCCTACTTTGCAGGAAGTGTTTAGGAAGGCTGTGTAAGTTACATGCAGAAAAGTGTGACTACATCTTTATAAACAAAAGGACTTAACTCCTAAATTTCAGAGAAGTGAACAGTGAGACTGCAAGGGCTTGATAAACCAAAGCTGCTTCATTAAGCTAAAGTTGTTTTGGTGCCTATAATGTCCCTTTAATTTTGCATGGAAAGCTGTGGATGTAGTTGTACATGCACACACATACATGGTGACATGAAGCCACATTACCAGATATGTCAGGAGGTTTCCAATAAGTAGTAAATAGCATGGTATTAAACAATTTAATCAATGCATTAAAATGCGAAATAGCCTTTTATCTTGCATTTCAACTGTTGCTGCTTTTTTATTTATTTTTTAACAAAAATTACTTAATCATGAAATAGTCCATCTGCATGTTTTGGATTGCCAAAGATGCAGTTTGAAGGTCTAACTATTGGCCACCCATAGTAAATATTACAAAACATACTTACCTGTAACATCTCTTACTCCTTACCTTACATAGCATCTCAAAATTGAATAACTGCGTCCACAACCAAAATGATGCAAGCACCATATTACAAATCTTAGTAAGTGGGATCACTTTTGGAGTTGTGTGATACCTCTGCATCATTAGGAAACTCTGAGGCTGCCCACACAGACCTACAAACATACAGTGTGCATAGTTTGAGAACATTCCATTTATACCTTTTCTATCATTTAGGCGTGCGCAATGTGTAGATTATTATTATTATTTTTATTTATTTTTTATTTTTGCTTAACGTAAAGACAAGTATTCTTGATCATGGCAGGTGTAGTTAAATATTTAATACACTCAACTTTGCTACACTCTGACGTCTGTGATGTTGACAGTGTTTTTTATAATAAACAGCATCCTGTCTCAATAGTTATAACATATACTCTACAGTATAAATCTTGTTTATGAACCTTGAAAAATGTAAGCCATCAGCTTCAAAGTCTAACTGGCGTAACTGTTGAGTAAGCCATCTATGCAGGTCCAAAGCTGATGAGGTTTTTAAATTCTGTGTTGATGGTAAATACTATGTATAGCAATTTAATGAAGGGTTGGCTGACTGCTGACATGTATTCTAATCTGTTGGGAGTAGGCCAACCGCTATCCTCTGCATAGGGAGCAAGACTGAGTTGCCTTAAAGCAGCATCGTAACTGTACTTGGAAGAAAATTATAGAGTGATATATAAGTTGCTAAAGGCAGAAAAATCGACAGTGGCTGTGTGTGCTCTAAAATGTGTCTCCAAACAACAGTATACTTTTCAAACAGTAATACATACCTATTTAAAATCTGTCATGTTGATGTCATAACATTAATATCTAGAAGCACTGCGGTTAAACAGGATTCCCATATTTAGCAAATGGCTTTCCTATTTCTTGCACAAAATGTGCAATTCTAGGGATTGTGATAACCTCAAAAGATAAGCAAAGTATACTGACAATATGGGAATTGGAAGTTGATTAAACATTTAAAACAAAATAATATCGATTTTAAAAAAAAAGAAAAATACAAAATAAAGATTAAATATTCAAAAAAAAAATAAAACAAAATAATATCAGTGTAGAGCAACATATTACAAATATTGTAATTCTGTATATGATTTACATACAATTGAGAGAAGTAAGCATCTCTCATATTGTTAAAAACTATTTATTTAGCATAATACCGAATACTGTTTTTTAAAGTGTCTCAAGCTCATGGCAAGACCGTTTTTGCCTAAAGTTTTTAATTCAGTTTTAGTAAATAAACCCCAATGTGACTGACACATAGATGGTAAAGAGAATAAGCAAGATAATAATACATACGTGTGTTTAAATAACCTACAAAACTTACAGGATCAGCATAGATATTTCTAAGCATGAGATAAGTACTATAATTACTCAAACAGATTTTTAGACCTGTTTAAAGTTGACCTTGAAGAAGTTAATGTACATCAACAAAACTCATAAGACTAGCATGGATGACTGCTCTGAAGGGGGAATGGTAGCGGGTGAATTTGTCTCATCTTTACCACTCTGTAATACTTTCATATAATCTTTTAACTACCAAGTCCTTTTTGATGAAATGGAAAGTAGCATAATATTAACTCAAAACACAAAATAAAACCACAAATCTGTGAAAAGTGACATCTAAATGAAAAAATATTCAGATATTTATTTTACATTTGCATGTTGGTGCTTTACAGAAATATTTAGAATAAATCATTTTTGAGAGATTATATGGTCTGAAAGCAGAATTATCCCTTTTTGTCAGATACACCATGCATGACACAGTAGTGAAATTAAATCACATTCCTAAAATTAAAGTGTCCCTGTTTGTTCATAAACTGTAGGGAGGTATGAATGCTTCTACTGCTACATTCAAAGAACATCAAAGGGTTCGTGATTTGAAGTGGTCATGGAGTCTGTATGTGCAGTGATTAACTATGAAACCCTGCACATACTGAGATTAACCCCTTTGTCATGCTCTTAGTTTAGATGATTTTCTTTGGGGGCGTACAGTTATGTAATGTGCCACGCATGCCTATGTTTCTACTATAAACTATTTATACCTGAGTGTCCACGAGACTTCTAGAGTAAGCCAAAACAGAATTTCTAAGAATGGTCAGAAAACAAAAACACCGTCTCTTGCCTTTTGGTTAGTCTCCACTCAGGACTCAAGCAAGCATTAGTTCACAAAGGCCATTATAGAGGGAACATATACTATTTACTTTTCAAATAGGTAGTACAAAACCAAAATGCTAAGAGGTTCCCTTTCAGAGTAACTCCATGCTGTGTAGCATTTTTGTAGATTTAGATGTCTTATTGTTAAAACCTTTTTATTTCTTCTGATTGTACAGACTGATCTCCGATTTTCTCCACGTCTGTATATCAATCATGTCTTTCAGTACAGATCCCAAGTATTTCTTTTTTGAGAATTCTGTTTTGCAATGACTTTTAGTACATTTAGAAGACATTTTTATGGGTTTATTTACAAAACAGGTACTTTAATAACATTAGACCAGTTTGGCAGTGTGTCCTATAATTTTGCAGTTTCATTGGTGTTTACCATCAGAACTATGAATCATGAAGCCTTGACAAGGGAATCACATATTTTAAATAGCAAAATAGTTATTTTTTGTGTCCTAAACCTTGTAAGTTCTGTGTCAATGCTTCACCCTGCCCAATTTACTGAAGACTGTTGGTATATATAGATAGATAGATTTGAACCTCTTGCACTCCTACTCAAAATAAATGAGACCAGGTGCCAAGTCCCAATAATATAAAAAAATATCAAAAAATTACCGGCACTCTTGAGTTTAGTTCATCCAATTTATTGTTGGTCAATTCAAGCAAAGTCAACATTTCAGCCCTTTTTAAACAAATTGAGGTTTTCTAGTTACCTCCAATGGCCATGAGAGGCTACACCTGCCAATGTCAAGCCAGACCCCCCCAGGTGGGTCTTAACTCTAACCATTCACCTTGCTTCCTTGAGCTTCTGGCAAAGATCTCTAATGAGACAGAAAGGGGTATTTTTTTTATATACACCCCTATATATTATTAACCCTTAATAGGGAACACATGGGATGGGCGGCTGTATTGTAACAAGGCTGAGTGATACAAAAAATGGATACAAATGCAGAAAGATAAGTCCTGCACTCACTCCCATCACTGGGCGGCAGCAATGACTACAGTACACATCAGCCCCAATATATAGTAAAAACCAAAGAAAAACAAGTTACCTGCACTCTCTCCTTAATCCCTATGTATTTTTAAACAACTGGAGGTTTTCTAGTTACCTCCAATGGCCATGAGAGTATAAGCCCACCTGCCAACATCAAGGCAGAGCCGCCCATTGGAGGTAACTAGAAAACCTCCATTTGTTTAAAAAAAATAGGGATTAAGGAGAGAGGGCAGGTAACTTGTTTTTCATTGGGTTTTACTATATATTGGGGCTGATGTGTACTGTAGTCATTGCTGCCGCCCAGTGATGGGAGTGAGCGCAGGACTTATCTTTCTACATTTATATATATTTTTCTATATTCCTTTGTAATTTACAGTGTATCAATATTGATTTTTTTTTTAATTACAGTTTTATTCACAAGCTCTATCCACAAGGTATACCAACCTCTCCATTAATTATAAAACAAATTAAAAGAAAAAAAACCTATTTTTATGCACTTTTATGTAATTTACAACTCTAGTTAAAAATACATGCCTGCTAACATTTCAAATAGATAAAGAGGTACACTTTAATTGTAAGGGTGTAGTTAGGGGCAGTTCTGTTCTGAGACATTTTAGGTGATTTACTGATTAACAATTTATGCAATTAAATTTAGATTAATAAATATTTTGAATGTTTTTCCACAAGACATATAAAACATTCAGATTCATCAATAATCTGGTCAAACCCATCCAGGAGGCCCTGGAAATCCCTATGTGGTTAGCAACCAATGGAACCAGATTTGTGTGTAGGTTTGGTCTTGTTGGCGGCATTGTACTGAATATGCTGTCCTCTATAGACCTTCCTCCATACGTGTGAACCCTCTGAGAGCATTGTAACTCTCTGTCTCAATAGGATGGGGATAAGCCCTATTCCAACTGTTAGGATTCTTAATGTGAGAGACTTTTTTTATTAGCAGGATGGGGTATTAACATGGGGCCCTCTATAAAATGAGGCAGGTTGTCAAAGAATCTCTTTATGATGGAGTATATCTGTGTCCAGTATAGGCGGATTAAGGGGCATCCCACCATATGTGTATCAGAGTGCCTTCAGCTGTCAGGCATCGCCAATAGCAATTATTCGCCTCTGAATCTATAGCATTTAGGAGGTGGGGGGGTCTGATACCACAGGCATAGGAGCTTATAGGCTCTCTCGTGGACACTGGTGGATAATGCTCTATGGTAAGTGAGGTCACATATCTTCCCCCACTGCCAAGGTGGGAATGTCGTTTCCAGTGTTGACAGTTGTTCTCCAACGGTGTGTAGAGGGAGTAACGTCATTATGATGGGTGCATAGCCAAACCATGTCGCTGTGCCAATGTCAATCTGTGTCATAACCGGTAGGTAACAGTATGGGTCAAAGAAGTAATTCAGATGGGAGAAGGCAGCGTTTTTGGTTGGAGTAAACAATGTATTACAGTTGGGGAGGTAAATCTTTGCCAGGGTGTAGGGTTTCTAATATATTGTGCCCTTGATGAATATGTATCTCTTTTGCCCCCTCCTCCCCAATCTCAGCAACCCCATACATATCAATTGGGGGGCAGTAGTCACCTTAGTTTTAGTAAATGTGACCATTAATTAAATGTGCCCAGATTTGGGCAGGACCTGGGATCTCATTTGTGACCTCAGTCAACAGGAGACTGTGGCTGATAACAGTGGGGCCCACAAATTACTGCCCGTAAGGGCTGGCAGTTTTAGTCTCATTTTTCTGGGTGTTTAAAAAGGCCCATAAAATACACCCGGACTAACTTGCGACATCCGAACCTCCCCGGCACTCAGGAGCAGCGAGAATCAGTCCCGGAAATGCAACCGGTAGGCCATCAAAGTTGTGTGTCAGTCTGCAGTGAGAGTACCTTGGAAGGGTGATAAGGGTCAGACTAAAGCACCCTGATGTCTGTCCTAATGGTGGCCTGAAGGAGAGTAGCTCTTCCTTTGCTGTCAATGCCTTTTACAGGGCCGCCCAGTCCGTAGCCATCGGGATTGACGTTATGTCATGGTGTGAGGAAGGAGATGCCGACATTGAGTCTCCCTGAAGCATGGAGGCCTCCAACCACATGGTCTGCCATGAGAGGTATGTCGGCATTGTGAGGTATGGTCTCAATAATAGCGTAATTGCCTCTTTTTTATGGTACTGGGGCTGGTGAAGTTTCAGGGTTTGTAGGGAGCTCTGAATTATGCTGCCATCTTATGTGGTTCAACCATGCCCTTTTACTAAAAGGTCATTTAGATTAAGAAAATATTATTTTATTCACACAGTCTAATTTATAAAACAAGTTTACTGTACTTTAAAGACAAATTAGTGTGAATGCAATACACTCAAACACACATACAAAATGGAGCTCATCAAAAAGAGTGATTTTAGGATAGAAAAGAAGGACAGAGGGATTTGGGCCCAAAATAGGGACTGTCCCTCCAAAATAGTGACACCTTTAAGGTATGTATAAGTGAATATTTCTCAGTGAGTATAATGTGATTATGTTTATATATTAATCTGTTTTGAAGCAAATTGAAACCTTTTCCAAAATCAGGCTCTAGTTTGTTAATTTATGTAAACTCTTGTCCAATTATAATATCTAAATTAAGGGGAGCTCTTAAAGTTTTCATCTATAGTGTTATGCACAGTAATGGTTGTTAGCTTGGTAAACAGAGTCAGATTTGCATGCTATGTGCCTGTAGGAACAGAATTCTAAGGAGAACCCTTCTTCTCCTCAACCCCTAAAAAAAGCAGATAAAGTGAGTTTAATGAATTTATTAACTGGACATTGCACTCCAGGCATAAAAAGCATATAAAAATCAGACATTCCAATCTAACAACTGTATATGTATAAATGTATGTGCATATGTCTACCTGTAATGTATTTAGTTTGAATCTGTGAGTATAATGAGTGTACACAGCTGCTTAACCCCTTAAGGACACATGACGTGTGACATGTCATGATTCCCCTTTATTCCAGAAGTTTGGCCCTTAAGGAGTTAAATGCATGCAGGCAAAAAAATATGTTAGAATTGGTTAGGGTAAATGGGGAGGGGGGGTTTAAGGTTATAAAGAAGTTAATGTGAGACTTAGATTACGTAGAATGTTTACTGTTAAGAGGATTAAAAGCTTGAAATATTTTTGGGGTAAGGGATATTGAGTTTAGAATATTGAGTTTAAGGTTATAGTGGGGTTAAATCTAGTATTGGGGTCAGTGCCTCCATCAGGAGTTACAACATCTGCATGTGTAAGGATCACAGGCCCCGAACATTGTGTTGTTACGGTACGGTAACAACTCATTGGCCTCTTCCTGTCTACTTGCTGGGACGCCATTAGGGGATGACAGCCAGTACTCTGTTAAAGGGCCTGGTCGATTAATGTGACTTGTATGATCAGGGCCCCTTAACAGACTTTACTGGCTGCTCCTTCCTTATTACTGAATGGCAGCGCTGGAAAATATCAAATTCTTTCCTCCCAGCTCTTGTGCAAGCCAAATGGGATGTGGTTAGTGTGCAGTCCACAATTTTAAGCCATATGCTAGCCTGATGCCCAGTTGACCCAAGGAAGTAATACTCCAGCTGCAAAATGGTAATGAAAAAGGATGGTGGCTAAATACATTTTGTGTGTGTATGTATGTATATAGTTTGTGTGTCTACAGCAAAGTACATGTTTGCAGCTGGGTTTGTTTAGTAGTCTATGTGTGGGTAGATGTGTGTAGTAGTAGCTGTATAGTGTGTAGCATTGTATCTAACTGGATATATGTTTATCAATATATGTTGCACAGTGTGTGTTTGTGTGAATGTGTAGCAATGTATGCGTGCAGCATAGTGTATGTAGCAGGGTACGTATGTTTATCAGTGTGATTGTGTATATGTTTAACAGACAGTGTGTTTAGTAATGTGGATCTAACTGTATGCCGGGCACTGTATATTGAGATGTATGTGCATATCTGTGTGTATCTATGTGTGTCCCGTGATAGGTCTGGGATGCATATATGTGTGTGTCTCTCTGAGAGTGTCAGAGTATCTTTACTGTCTCTGTCTGGCAGACATAGCATGTGTTGGGGGACCCAGCCTTCAGGTTTGCAATGAGCCCCAATAATTCTGATGGTGTCCTTGACTGAGGTACATGGTTTGTTTAATGATTTAGATTCTTTACTAAACAACATTCAAAACATTTCTAAATCACCAAATGATATTAATCTTAAAATCTGGAACCCTAACATCCTTGCACTTCACATGGATATACTAAATAAGTATCCAAGCTTTCCCTCTGTGAAAACCATGTTGGCAAACACACATATAGCTTGTTTTTTATTCATTGCTCATCCCTCTAATTGAAATGTAAGTCTGCCCTGAGCCAAATGATACTGATCAGAAAATATTGCACCAAACTTGGCACCCAAGTATCCATGCATTTCATTCGGAAACCCTTATACGTAACCAAACTTTTCGCCTATGAAAACCATCTGGGCTCACCCAGATCTGGTTTGTTTTTCACTAGTTAGGCATCGCTCTACAGGAGAAAGTTCCATCTGGCCTCAGCCAAATCATAATGATTGCAAAATATGGCACCAAATTTGATATTCTATCATCCATGCATTTCAATAAGAAATTTTGAACACGTAGCCAAGCTTTTCCTCCATGAAAACACTATCTGCTCACCCAGATTTAGTTTGTTTCTTACTAATTGAGCATCCACCTAATGGAAAAAGTTCAAACTGGCCTGAATCAAATGATATTGATCGCAATAAATGTCACAAAACCGGGCGCTCTAACATCAATGTATTTCAATTCAACAGAAAATTATGAATAAGTAACCAAGTTCTTGTCCTATGAAAGCCACCTTCACTCACCTAGGTTTAGCTTGTTTTTCTTGTTTGAGAATTCCTCTATAGGAAAACATTAAATCTGGTCTGAGTCAAATTATATTGATCACAAAACTTGGCACAGTAACATCAATGCATTTTAATAGGAAATTCTGCATCAGTAACTAAGCTTCCCCCCTATGGCAATCTTGGCTCACAAAGTTAGAAACATTGAAACCTAGAATGTGACAGCAGATAAGAACCATTCGGCCCATCTAGTCTGCCCAATTTTCTAAATACTTTCATTAGTCCCTGGCCTTATCTTATAGTTAGGATAGCCTTATACCTATCCGACGCATGCTTAAACTCCTTTATTGTGTTAACCTCTGCCACTTCACTTGAAAGACTATTCCATGCATCCACTACCCTTTCAGTAAAGTAATACTTCCTGATATTTTTTTTTTCTAAATTCTTTATTTTTGCAGTGCAAAGAAAAAACATCACAGCAGGCATGTGGTGCCCCAATAGCATTCCTCACGCTGATTATCCACATTTTAAACAATGGAGTTCTCATAAATCCGTGCACATTTTTCAGTTATTTATTTCCTGATATTATTTTTAAACCTTTGCCCCTCTAATTTAAGACTATGTCCTCTTGTTGTGGTAGTTTTTCTTCTTTTAAATATAGTCTCCTCCTTTATGTATTTAAATGTTTCTATCATATCCCCCCTGTCTCATCTTTCCTCCAAGCAATACAGTGCCTTGCAAAAGTATTCACCCCCTTGACTTTTCACCTATTTTGTTACATTACTGTCACATCCTGTTCCTCGCTGCGGCTCATTCTGGCAATGGCTTCTGGTATCTAGTACTCTTTTTGCTGCCCTTGCTTGGTTTTCTGGTCTATGTCTGGTTTTCTTTGTTGCTTGGTTTCTGGGTTCATTCTTATATTCTGTCCCTGGATTTCCCAGTCTCTTGGATTCACTTAAATGTTTGTTTTATGTTGCCACACCCGTTTCTTTTCCACTTTCCTTTTGTTTCAGCTTGGACCTGCAGCAGTGTTTCATGTCTCTGCCCTTTCTTGCAGGTAAGTGCTATTGTGGTTTAGTGTGGCTGTTTTAGCATGCATTAGGACCTGCCAGATATGGGGTACATTGGCATTGTTGGCAGGCTTGTGCAATGCATGATCATATAGTGTGACTAAATCCTCATACTGTTCATATATAGTGCTTAGCTATGTTTCCTCTTGTTTTACCTTGTAATTAACATGTAAATGTGTTGGAATGGCCTAGTCAAAGCCCAGACCTCAATCCAATAGAAAATCTGAGGTCAGACTTAAAGATTGCTGTTCACAAGCGCAAACCATCCAACTTGAAGGAGCTGGAGCAGTTTTGCAAGGAGGAATGGGCAAAAATCCCAGTGGTAAGATGTGGCAAGCTCATAGAGACTTAACCAAAGCGACTTGGAGCTGGGATTGCCGCAAAAGGTGGCTCTACAAAGTACTTACTTTAGGGGGGTGAATAGTTATGCACATTTACTTTTTCTGTTATTTTGCCCTGTTTGTTGTTTGCTTCACAATAAAAAATAAATAAAAAAATCTTCAAAGTTGTGGGCATATTCTGTAAATTAAATGATGTAAATCATCAAACAATCCATGTTAATTCCAGGTTGTGAGGCAAAAAAAAAACGAGAAATTCCAAGGGAGGTGAATACTTTTGCAAGGCACTGTATATGTTAAGATCCTTTAACCTTTCCCGGTAAGTTTTATCCTGCAATCCACAATCCACAATCCATAAACCAGTTAAGTAGCCCTTCTCTGAACTCTCAATATCCTTCTGGAGATACGGTCTCCAGTACTGCGTACAATACTCCAAGTGAGGTCTCACCAGTGTTCTGTACAATGGCATGAGCACTTCCCTCTTTCTACTGCTAATACCTCTCCCTATACAACCAAGCATTCTATTAGCATTTCCTGCTGCTCTATTACATTGTCTGCCTACCTTTAAGTCATCAAATATAATCACCCCTAAATCCCTTTCCCGAGGTTGAGGTTAGGACTCTATCAAATATTCTGTACTCTGCCCTTGGGTTTTTATGTCCAAGATGCATTATCTTGCACTTATCCACATAAAATGTCAGTTGCCACAACTCTGACCCTTTTTCTAGTTTATCTAAATCATTTGGCTTATTCCTCCTGGAACATCAACCATGTTACATATCTTAGTATCATCGGCAAAAAGACATACCTTACCTTCAAGACCTTCTGCGATATCACTAATAAAAATATTAAAGAGAATAGGTCCAAGTACAGATCCCTGAGGTATCCCACCGGTGACAAGTCCAAGCTTCGAATATATTCCATTAACTACAACCCTCTGTTTGCTGTCTCTCAGCCACTGCCTTACCCATTCAACAATATTGGATTCCAAAGATTTATTGATAAGCCTTCTATGTGTCAAAAGCCTTACTGAAATCTAGGTAAGCAATGTCTACTGCACCACCCTGATCTATTATTTTAGTTACCCAATAAAAAAAATCAATAAGATTAGTTTGGCATGATCTCCCTGAAGTAAACCCATGTTGTCTCTGATCTTGAAATCCATGTGTTTTTAGATGTTCATCAATCCTATCCTTTAACATGGTTTCCATCACTTTCCCCACTACTGAAGTAAGGCTTACTGATTTGGTTTGTTTTATACTAATTGTTCATCATTTAAATGGAAAAAGTTCAGTTTGGCCTGAGCCAAATTATATTGATTGCAAAATATGATACCAAACTTGGACCATAACATCCATGCATTTCAATGGGAAATTCTGAATAAGTAATCAAACTTTTCCCCTAAGCCATCTTGGTTTACCGGATGTGGTTTGTTTTTTATTAATTTGGCATCCCTCTAATGGAAAAAGTTCCCCGTGGCCTAAGCCAAATTGCATTAATCACAAAAAAATGGCACCAAACATGGAACCCTAACATTCTTGCATTTCAATGGGAATTCTGAATTTCTCTGCATGCTGCTAGTGCCCTGAGTATAGTCTAATGATACACATGCACTATGCTTTTTGCGGACAGTTCCCTGATCTGCCCTAAAGCAGGACACCGGAAAACAAACCCTGGATTGCGGAACAGGACCCTAACATTTGGAGGCTTGAATATGGAGCTCTTAGAAAAGAGGGACGTTATAATAGAAAAAGAGGGACAGAATGATTTGGGCCCAAAATATGGACTATCTCTCCTAAATAGTTCCTATATTTAGGTGTCTATGCTGTAGAGGAGACTTCTCTTCCACAAATCTTCAAATTAGTAAATAAAAAATAAAGTCCTCAGCACACAGTAATTTAAAGGTCATACGGTAGTTTTATTTAGCCACCAAGGCTGGGCAACGTTTCGACACTCCTGTTGTCTTTACCAAGTAAGTGATATAAAGGGTTAAAGAAATGTAAGGAGGAGGCCTAAAACAATAAATGTAAGCAAAGAAAACAAAAGAGAAGAGAGGACTGAAGATTAGAAAAAGCTAACAAACATATTGCCTGAACATTTTTTACTGTTACTTTTGCAGACGGCATTCGGGCTCAAAAACATTCTCATTGATCTAGGTTGTTGGTCCAGACTACTGAAATGTTGGACATTCTTATTTCAAAAAACAACCATACGTACATTTCTAATGGAAGATGTTATGCATACAGATAGGTAACCTTTGACAGAATAACTTCTGTGTATTTAAACTCCCATGATGCTTAGCTATCTTGTTAATGGGCTGCACATTACGCTATTTGCACTATGTAGCATATTGAGAGCCGTGCCTCGATACTTAGTTTTTTCAGCACACAAAAGAAAGCAGTGCCAGTTCTGTGTGCGTGGGATCAATCAGAGGGAACAAACCAAGCACTAAACCTCACATTTCATTTTGAAATGAAGCATTTGCAATTACACAGTAAATTATGTAAAATAAGCAACTTTTCAAAATGTGTGTCCAATTGCTTTTAATTTTAGTGTTGCTCTGCTGCTTACTAAATGGTTTGTTTGCGCTTTTGAATTATTTAGTATCTACTTATAGATTGCTCCCCCACCCCCAGTGGGATTACAAGGCCATAATAAGGACAAGAAATAGTCCATTTTGTTTAGCCTCTTGTCTATCTTCATTAGAACTGTGTAAATGCAATGTAAATATATACTAATGCCGAAATAAACGGGTCAGGATAAATTAACTATAGACATACTGTTAAAGAAAACAAATCTAATTTTATAATTATATATATATATATATATATATATATATATATATATATATATATATATATATATATATATATATATATATTTATTTATTATAGGCACATGGCTACTCGACCAATAAATAGATTGTAAATAAGACTATTATTTTCTATCTTCCTGTCTGTCCATAAATGTATCTTTAAAAATACAGTCACTATTTAGGATGTTTTTCGTTTCATTCCAACTGTTTGAATTCTAGCTTTAGCACCAGTAGGGGCTGTTTGGTTGAGATCTTATGTGGAAAAAAAAATGTATTTACAATGTTGATTCTTTTTCTGGTGGTGGTGAGGGAGGGGGTAAGCCAAGAAATATGAGGAAAAATATATACTAACATACAATAACAGATTTGAAATCTATCCTGTTTCAATCTCAGGGGCCTCCCATTGAGTTGTCATACGGGCAGCAGAGCCAGCTTCCCGTGTCCCATGAGTGTTGGCAATCATTGGCCATAGCACCAGGGAGAGAAAAATCAAGAATCCATCTTGGAAGTAACTCAGACTGAGCTCATCAGCTTCTGGTACCTGCCAAATGTAAGTATATAATATTAACTTTTCCTCTCCCCCTAAAGCCTTAGTGTCTGCCTGAGGTCTTATCAAGCAAAGAGATTTACTTAATGTATGTATATATGGTGCTCGATATTTTGTGGTATCTTCTTACTTTACTGTGTTCTTTTGTATTGAATGGGTACCTCTGTATTGTAACTGGCTCTGTGTATTCTATACAAATCTCTGCATTGTACTCATTCTGTGTAATGTATATGGATATCTATATTGTACCTACCTTTGAGTAGTATTGTATGAGTTGTGTAGATTTAGTTTTAGCATACATGACTAGTAATAGTTTTTGATGGTCAAGCTTTTTAAACAGATGGGTATTATGAGAACGCTATACTATACTTAAAACCAATTAAAGAATGTCCCCATGCCTGAAATGTGTCCAAGGCACTCAGAGTAGAGTAAACGCGGTTTGATAAATTGGGTAACATTTATCAAGACATTTCAGTGGTAGAGAGGAGAAATAAAACAAGTTTATAAAAACATAAACTATAGAACATCCAGTGTTAGTGAAGCATTGCTTGGACCTTTCAGTGGCATCACTAGGGCTGGTGTCAACCGATGAGGTAACTCATGGTGTCAACCCCTCCACGAACTTCCTTCCTTGCCAGACCATGACTATGAGCTAAGTTCCTTAATGTGAAATTAACCTCATCACTGTCTCATCTAATGCTGCTGGATTCATTTTTCATTTTTCCTTGCTGTTTACAGTAAACATTAAGTGCAGTACGTAGAGTTTATTTGACGGAGAAAGGAAATCAGTTATTCCTTTTAGGTGGTTCCTTTTAGGTTGTTTGAGTTCCCAGTTGATGAGTATGAATTCTATTTAGTGTATCAGTGAACACTTCTATGTATGATAGAGTAGCACATGACGTGATATTTATCCTGGAATAATAGATAGACCTGGCATCCATTCTTCAGGTATATGAGTGGCTAATGTCTTTTTGTCTCAACCTATATTTGATCAGAACAGTCTTTTTAAGTGACTTGTGGTTTACCAAAACCCCATCATTCTCTTACCCATTATGACCATTGAAGAAACTCCATTGTGTGCCCTCACATTATTTTGGCACATGCTGTTTCTGACAACAGGCCACTTTGAGAGTGTTCAGCCACACGTGCGATATGATTGGTGGATCTGGATTGCACGGTCTTGTGAATAGCAATATCCATCCTCATGTTTTGAAACCCAGAGTTTGGTTGTCAAACAGCTCTCACCCTCCAAAATCAGCATGTAGAAGGTAAGTATCTGCTGGTTTTATTCTCTCTGATCCGATGGCCTAAAGCTACCATTTTCTGATGGTGTCACCAAGTACGGTCTGCACTGCCCTAGTGATGCTGCTGAGTACCTCCCATTTGGTGAAATACCCTTTTGCCATATCTTCCCAATAGCACTTTTACAAAGAAAAAATATTGCTATTGCTAGGCCCTGAGTTCACTGAGACACAGCTGCTCTAGAAATTTGTACAATTGAAGCCCTTAAATTGTTTTATGTCCTCCTTATAATTTCCATTTTTTTTCTTACTACATTTAATAAATGAAGCATGGTTTGGAAAAGGGGAGGAATCCAGCTATAACATTGCATGGAGCTTCCAGAACAGGAGGTAGCACTAATCAAAATGGTGCTTTCAGGGCTGGACTGGGAAAATATTTGGCCCAGGCATTTTTTTTAATCACAGTGGCCCACTGAGAAGGGGGTGGGGCCAGATAGGGTGTGTTTTGTCAATATCAATGACAAGCAGGCCCCAACATAAAGTGAGCATGTTGGTTCAATGCTCTTCCAGGGCAGACCATGCGCAGAGAAAAAGGGCCTGTATTTGTTCTGCACAGCGCAAGCAAATTTAATAACATACTTGCACTGTGTTTGCTTGAAACTTGTCTCTGGTGTCTCCAAAAATGGGATACCAGGAGACAAAAATGCCAGGACAGAGTATTGTGCATGTGTTTGGACCTGCTTGTGGGATTGTGTGTGTGTAGAGTGAGCTGATTGTGGTGTGGTTTTGTGTAAATAGGTTGGTTTCAGTCATGTTGTCTTTGTGGTGTAATGTAATGTATGTGTGTCCTAGGTGTTGTAGAGAGTGTGTGTATATAGGGATCTAGTGTGTGCATGTGTGTAGGTGATCCAAAGTTGGTAAAGGATCTAGTGTATGCCTGGGTATCTAGAGAATCATAGGAGTTGTAGTTCAGCAACATCTGGAGAGCTAGAATTTGGAAAACCCTGCTCTATATGCCCAAACTGCTCCATTAAGCCCAAGTTATTTTGTCTCTGTAGTGTCCCTTTAATTCAGGTATAGGTAGCTACAGTTTGAGTTACAATTTAATTTTTTTCCAGATTACTGATGTATCGAACCATTGTTTTACTATACTTATTTAAAAAAAAAAATTAAAAACATTTTGAACTGATTATGCTAGCTTATTATCAATGGAATGATAAATAATCGTTAAAAATTAGACCCAGTAATCTTTTGAGTGCCCCATCATGCAACATGTACATTGCAAGAGTAAGTAATTTCTAGACCCCTGTAACAACACATTGCAACATCACTTAAAGGAGCTTATGTTTCATCACAATCCAAATACAGAAGTACCATTATCTTGACCACGTGATCGTAAAAGGATTGCAGAAGGCTGATGTACTTAGTTGTGGTAATGTAGGTCCACCATTAGTAAATAAGTGAAACATCAGCACTTAAAAAAAGAGTTCATGAATCATTTAAACATAAGCTCTCATAAGCTGGGCCCTCATTATCTACTATTTTCTGTAACTGCTGCTGTATTTCATTTTGTCTCCAACCCCTTTAAAAATTCAATATGTTAAATATATTTTTTCATTTACTTTATAATATAAGTATTACAAAAAAAAAAACAATACGTACAAAAGTTTCCTTCTTTTCCCTGCTATTATCCTTAAAATATGATATTTGGGGCTACAACGGTCAGTCACGCTGCATCATGCATGACGTCACCACCTTGTCTACCGCCAACACCATACAAGAGCTGGAAAGGCTCATAGTCTAAATGTGCTTTCTATAGGGATAAACATGGTTTCTTGAATGAATAGTAACTCATAATAGTTTGAGAAACAGATTTTGCACTTTTTACTGTTTGTAGTCTTATAGCCACATACAGACTTATGTTAAACATTGTTTGGGACTCTGTATGCTTTTATAAAACACAGGATTTTGTTTTCTTAAAAAAATACCTGCGTCTGTATGTTTGGAATATTCACCTTTATGCTCACCCTGACAGCACATCCAAAGATACTCTCTTCCACTCTGCTCAATTCATACTAGGCCATGTATACATCAGTTTAACTGCACTGAAACTTGGCTGGACATGCATACTTGCACCTTTTAGTAAAGGCAAGTTGATGTTGATGTCAGCCGTTTGACACGTCCTGTTTGACTATTCTGTACTCAAGTTTCCAGATTTGGCTTGTCATTAAATTTTATGGCTTCTGGTATTCTGATCCAGTGAAACTTGTGACTACATCCTTTCCTCTATCCATCTATTGGCTAATGGCTGACTAGCAAGTTCTGGCCAGGTACCACATAAATATCCTCATGCAGACAAGGGATTTTTAACAATTTTCTCGCAGACTGCCTCCGGGCCCTGATTTAATTCATTCAGACTGGATTTTAGCCATCCGGCGGCGTTCAGTAAAGCTGAAATACTGACCAAATTCATTCCCATTCAATACCTGATTTACAAAATACAGACATTGCTAAATCCCATCAACAGTGACTGGGTTTTGTAGTCTGAAGGACCACATACAGCAGTGAATGGCTTTGCCCCATTTGGTACAGGGCCATTCAGACTTTAGTTAATAACCCTGTAAGTCTCTTTATTTCTGCATTTGGCCCATATTTGCCTTTTAGGCTTCATAACAACACACATTTATTATCTTATAATATATATCCTCCTAAATGAATCTACATGGTATTGAAGTATCTATGTCACTAAATCCAAATTTTACCTAATATGCTGCTACATATGTGTCTAAATTCAATTTTACTTTTTCCTGAGGACTAAAGTTATATATAGTAGTCAAATTGACAGAACTTGACAACGGGCTGGACTTAAAGTAAGGTTCGGTGTCAGTTGTCCCACAGAAGGGCAAAAAGCAGACATCACAAACAGAGGAGCATAAAATGGCTGCTCCAAGATATTGAGATGCAGCACAAGGAAAAATATAAATATAAATATCAATAAGGCAAGTGGAAATATGGGGGATGATTATAACCTTTAAAGGTAAGGAAAGTAAACAGGTAATAAACACATGACAGGTCAACTTTAATTTGTAATCATAACAGTTATTGTTCTGTACATATGTGCATGATTTAAACTTTCTCTTGGTGCTGAAAGCAGCGTGTGTGTGTGTGTGTGTGTGTGTGTATATATGTATGTGTGTGTGTATATGTATATATATATATATAATTGGCACAAATGATTCAAGATTACTTGCATTCATATATCTTTAAATATACACTTCTGACTATGGAGGCCCAGAGAGGCCATATATTTTTTATATTTTTCTGATGTAATACCTCAAGAAAACAACTTGTTTGCTTGAGACAAGTCATAAAAAATATTACAATACATGGCCTCACTGGACTTCCATATCTGACTATCTGACAGCTTCTGAATTAAATTTAATTAAACTCTGATAATTAAAAGGTTGCATTGACCCATCCAATAATAAAACCTATTGGGTAATTTAGATCTCACATGTAGAACACTAACCATTACTGCGCAACCTCTTGGAATTCCTCAGATTATATTTTTCTTACCTGACACCTTTGTAGTGTGGTCCAGCGTCTGAAATCATTATGCCTGTACCAGCTACAAAATCATTTTCTTCACAATTGCTACATCTTATGAACTTTGTCACAGAATTACTGTTTATAAATAAAACCTTGGCAGAACATGGTGAGTAACTCTGTAACTAAAAGTATTTTCTTTGTGTCTGTAACACTACAAGTGATACTTCTAATGGACTGGTGCAATATTATGTTACATGGGCTTAATTTTATTTCCGATTGAGCACTAGATACATTCCTTGTTTCCATCGAGCTTACATTATTATAAACACCTTTTTTCTTTTAAAAATGTATTCGTTTTCCAGAACTAGTTTATTTTACTAAATAGATCTGCATCATGCCCATCATGTCAGTGGCGGAACTGACAAAGAAAGGGCATGGAGCAAGAATCACTTTGGGCCCCCTCTATTTCAAAAGTTTTCCAAAAGTGTAGATCGCCATCTATGCCAAGTGTAAGATGCCCCATCTACCATTTGCCCATCCTTGCAGGGTTGTATTTAGTACTGAGCAATGTTTGCTTGTTTGAATATAAGCATGTTGGCATTTGAATGCAGGTGTGTGTTTTTACGAGCTGTTGCCATTTAAAAGCAGCAGTGTTCTTGTGTGTAGTGTTTGCTTTTGAATGTAGGGGTATGTTTGTATGTAGTGTTGACATTTGAATGCAGGCTTACATCTGTGTGTAGAGTTGGTTTTTGAATGCGTGTGTTTATACAGAGGTGTGTTTGAATTAAGTGTTGACAATTGAATACAGGGGTGTGTTTGTATGTAGTGTTGACATTTGAATGCACAGTAGTATTTGTGTGTATATGGACATGCATGCAAATATAAATAAACACACAGTGACATTCATACAGATACACAAACATGCACTACAAATACTGACAAACATACAGAAACACAGTGACACACATGCAAATACACAGACACACACATACAAATACTGACACATAGACAGACACATAGATACACAGAGTGACACACATACAGACACACATGCTGGGCAGAATTTACAATGTTTATCCACCCTCCTGTTTCCTGCCTTTTGGGTGCAGGAGGGTGGTCTCTGCTGAGGCTTTTGGGAGTCAGAGGCTGGCTCTCTTAGGGCCGCAGCACACAACTGAGTCACTGATGACACATGCCCTTGAGTGCATTAACCACCTGATGGGTCCCTTAGCATACAGGCTGGGGTTGGGAAAAAATAAATATCCCCAAGCTAGAACTCATTTAACAGAACAGGACCAAGCACCTGCTAAATCAGAACATGTTGACCCTGGTACCACCTTTGTGCAGCAGCATTTTATTTCTTTATTTTAGTGTGTCATTTACTAAACTGAGAATTGTGGGTTTCTGAAAGTGAAATCAAATTTAAGGCAAAAATAGCCGAATTGTATATATAGCTGACTTTTCCAATTGGACTATTTTGGCTTAAATTAAGACATTCATTTTCAGTTCACGGCATTTCTTCCTTGGTAAATAACCCTGAGTGTACGCATTTGCTTTTGTGCATCTGTGAATGTATTATTTTGGGGTTTTGCAGTATATGTGAATACGCCCCCACATGCAAACATCAACACTACATAAAATTCACCCCCTACTTTAAACACCAATTCTACATGTAAATACACACACACACACACACACACACACACACACACACACACACACACTAACTTGTATTAAAACACAAAGACACTGCACACAAATACAACCCTACAAGGATAGGTAAACTATAGGTCCCCAGCTGGCAAGGAATTGTGGGCATTGTACAACAGATGAGGGTCTTTACCTTTTGGCTACCCCTTTCTATAGAGAACAAGGTTTTTCTCTTCATTAGTTCTACTACTCCTAACCATAGTCTGCACTGATATATCCACCTTAAACTGTTTATTTGTGCAAGGCTGAAATAATGGATTATATCAATATACTCAGTTGCAGGTAAGTAAAGCCAAATATATCATGCACAAAGTTTTAGGTATGATACATTGAAGCAAAAAAGACAAGGTTGATTGTGCAATGTTTACCAAGAAGGCAACATTCTCTGAATTCAGAGGTATCCAAATATATATCCAGAAAGTCATCCAGATCAAGTTTCACAAGTTATTCATGCATGTCTAGATCGGCAAGAGTTTTTAAAATAAATTGAAACTGAATTTAACATTTTAGTCCATAATAGCGTAATTTGAACGTTGTTATTATTAGCATTTATATAGCACCAACATATTCCGCAGCCATTTACAAATAGCTATAGAAAGGGGAAGAAGTCAAGAAGGCTTTGCTCATACAATCTTACATTCAGTGGCTGAACTAATGCCGATGCATCTGCTTAGGGAGCCCATTGGGTGGCCCATGCACTAACCAGGGACCCGGTCTTGCTCTATGGCCCTTTAATAGCACAACCAGGCCCCTTTATAGATGGCAGTGCTGAGAGAAAGTGACAGGCTTAAATTGTGTACATTTTACCTGTATGTGTATCTATCTGTGTGTCTGTGGATCTATCAGGTGTCTGTATGCGTGTGCAAGTGTGTCTATGTATCTGTATGTGTGTCTGTGTGTGTGTATGTGTGTCAGTGTATCTATCTGTGTGTATGTATGTGGGCCTAATGTGTCTTCAGGGACCCGGTCGTGCTCTATGGCCCTTTAAAGATGGCAGTGCTGAGAGAAAGTGACGGGCTTAAATTGTGTACATTTTGCCTGTATGTGTATCTATCTGTGTGTCTGTGCATCTATCAGGTGTCTGTATGTGTGTGCAAGTGTGTCTATGTAGCTGTATGTGTATCTGTGTGTATGTATTTCAGTGTATCTATACATGTGTCTGTGTATCTGTCACTGTGTGCCCCAGTGCATCTGAGTGTGTTTGTATATCTGTATGTGTATCAGTATTTGTATGAGTGTCATTGTGTGTATCTGTGTATCTGCATGTGTTCTATTGTGTGTGTGACTGTGCACCATAATGTTGTGTCAGTATGTTTATCTGTGTATCTGTTAGTGTGTATGTTTGTGTTTGTTTGTGGATCTGTGTGTGTATCTGTATGTCAGTGTATCTGCATGTGTATTCAGATGTGTGTATGTGACAGTGTAAATGTATATGTGCATTCATCTCTCCAACACTACACACATATTACCATATAACATACCCCTACATTCATACACACACATATTCTATACAAAAACATGCTTACATCCAAACAAATTCTGAATAACAAATCAAAATGAACATTCTTGTCCATTGCATGTTTTGTTTGGTTTGTGATTCGGCTCCATTTAGGCTTTGAGTTTGGGAATTCTGGCAATCAACTGTTCGGCCCAAATTCAGACAAATTGCAGTTAAGTATAAGTCAAGTTAACATGGCTTCTATTTAACTGCAATTTGTCTGAATTTGGGCCGAACAGTTTAAAATATTTAGATATTGTGATGGACCACTGGCACTCCGACTGAGTACCTCCGCCAATCGATGCTCCTAGTGCTTGCTGAGGTCTCCAAGCACTCCAACCGACACCATCAGCACTGCAGACCCCACTTCCAGCGATGCAGCTGCGCCGGGGTCTCGCTGTCTCCACCCACCCTGGACCCAAGGCCAGGATCCAGCTTCCAGTGGGTGAACCTCTCTTTCCCCAGAGAGCAGGAACAGGAAGAAGCTCTTAGCAGAGCTTAGTGATCATACCCTGGGGAGTATAGTGATTATAGCAATCCCCAGAGTGTAGTTCTCCAATCCCCCAAACATGAGCCAAGGCTTCAAGAAAGGTACAAGATGATCTGATTTTAATGACCACACACTGGCTTTTATGCAAGTCCCCATGCAAGGGGACATCCCACAGGGTGGGCCACAGTACAACCAATCATTTACAGGAAAACCGTAAAACACACCCAGCACCAACATACAATCCCTCCCCTCTGCCTGTGATATAATTACTGAACACAATGGGTTAATGTAATTTATCACAGGCAGGAAAAATACACTTTTTATACATATACTGTAACTTTAAAAATATGCATCATATTCACATAGAACATACATATTCAGAATCAGCATACTTTAAATATAAACATAACCAAAAATCATGCAAATCCTTCCATTAGTTCAAAAGTTAGTTGGAAGTCCTTTGTGACCAATGAAGCATGGCTTTTCTGCCCAAAACTAGTTCCACAGTGTCTTCTATCCTGGAGATAATTGGGAAGTAATCCAATTATCTTCAAGGACAGAGGCAAAGCTCCATTGAACACATGGCAGCAAAAAGACATAAAATTACACAATGTTACAATTACTACATAAAACATATACATGCAACATTATCCCCAGATAGCTTAGATCTGAGCACACATTATTACGAAATGGCGCTCAGATCACCTACATACAGTTCAATCACCATGGAGCCAAAGTCTTTTGTTACACAAATAGGCTCCATGGCATAGCTATCTGGGGTAGCACTATTACCATACTGAAAGTCCAGAACGCCCCAGCAGAAATACACAAATAAACCTTTCTGCAGGGGAAAATACAGCTATCAGCACATGGACCATAGTCGGAAGGCAGGAGGCAAGCCAGTAGTCCCCTCCAGGCACAAGTGTTGAAGGGCAGTTAGTCACAGATATCAACTCCCCTCCGGTCCAGTGCCTTATGTCAGACATATCGTCAAACTATAAACTTGGCTTATACTTTTCTCATCCACTGTAGTACAGCTCATTGCGAAGGGTAGGGCAATTGAAAGAAGAGCAAGGGCAGAGTGTGTTCGAACCTGAGATGGGTGTTACAGAAGTGTGACACCTATGATGCTGAGAACATGAGGCACTGGACCAGAGGGGAGTTGATATCTAAATATTTTCTATTAAATATATGTATCTCTGTGTTAAACATGGAGCGCCAATGTTAATAGGATAGACATAGGGATTTGTGCCCAAAATAGGCAAACTTGGTAGGTATGCAAACCTCATCCTATTAGCAGTGATTCCCTTAACAGGTCAAAACTGAAAATCTGTTCTGCAGTGCAGTGTGAAGGGATCACCATATACGTTTCACCATATCCATGCTTGCAAGAAGCTGAGTTTTAGTAGTGAGGAGCAGAGGGGAAATCACTCTAATTTTACATTTTGGGGGCATCAATTTAGCACAATCATGAGGTGAGAAACTGCAGGCTGAGTTCACTAAGGATCCCCCACAGTGAGACTGCTGGAACTTGAATCCCCCATGAGCCCCATACCAGATGAGAAATAGGTGACTCTGTGCTCAGAATGAATACAGGCTAAAATGAGACCTGAGGTATTCTCGAGCCCAGTCGGGAGCTAGATCCTGGATCTGCTTCACCCCTGATGATGCCCCTGTTTTTGGTTCTTAGAGTGTCCCTTTGAACTTTGCATTTTTGTCCAGTATTCATGGTGCAAATGACTTTTGTGACAGCCTTCTTGTCTGGCATTCACATGTTGCCATAATAAGGCTTATGTCAATATAGCTATGCCACAAAGTTGCCAATACTGGACTAATAGACTGGCAGCACTATAGCACCATTTATATAGCTGGCAAACATAAATTGCAGCAAACAAGCGCTATATAAGGTTATTAATAAGGGGCGCTCATGATAGGGAGGGTTAGAAGTAGGATAATTAAGATTAATTGAGGGAATTAAGATTAACAATCTCAAAATTCTCGCTAGGGAAGCTCCTGCTAACGATATACACCCCAACTCTAGATTCATCTAATCCAATGTTCCTCATCCAAACCTAGCTCTTCAACCCTATATCATCTCCCTAACCTTATCCTTGCAGTGTTGTTATAAATAGCACATATTTTAACTGTGCTGTAATATAATTCCTTTTGCATGAATGTAGTGACATTTCAGCATCAGTATTAACGATGTGCCACTTCTACAATGATGATTTACAAGCATACCGAGTAAAATATGATATTTTGTTGTTTTTATGGGGAGAGGTAGAGGAATGGAAAAACCATAAGTAGCTGCTATTATCGCAGTCACAAATGATGCAAAAGGTATCACACAATAAGTAAAAGCTACACTCCACTACTCAAATACAAAATTAATAAAAATCACTGTTTAGTAGATATACTAAAATAGATATACCCCATATTAAAATTTGTATGCATTTAATTATTTTTTGTTCATTGGTGCAGATTTAATGTACAAGCTGGGGCAAACAGCATTTAAAAGTTGCAGTTCTCTTGTCTGCAGCCCTTGCCCTCACCTTCAAACCCCACCCAGCCTTTCTGTGGCTGTCCAATCACAGACTTTACAATGAACTCAATGAGAAGTCTTTGCAAGGCAGGTGCTCTGAGCAATTGCTGCCTCTTGAGTTTAGTTTCACTGAGCTAAACAACCAGGAAGTAACAGGAAAGGTTGTATGTTCGAAAGGTGTAACCAGGTTAATTTATAAAGGTGTCCTTTTTTATTGAAATCTACACTTTTTGCAAAATGAAAAAAAGAGGACACACTCTTCACACATAAACCTTTTCAGCAAGCTAAAGTGCTTTAGGGGTCTGGAGTGTCCCTTTAATCCCTTAAGGACCAAACTTCTGGAACAAAAGGGAATAATGACATGTCACACGTCATGTGTCCTTAATGGGTTAAAGGGGTACTGATGGCTGATGTACAAATCGTTAAGCAAACCACCATGTGCACAGTAGGATTGCAGAGGGAGCTGTTTAAGACCACATATGTAAATTATTTTTACATTTTGTCTGACTGACAAAATATTGGAAACTTCATATATTTCTTAAGTACACAGCTTTGCTAATCATTAGAGCAGAGAAAATAGCAATCAATACGCTTGTTAAATATAAAGATATTGCATAGCCGTTTTGGAGAATTGATATTCTCTCGGGGGGGGAGGGGGAGGAGGGAGTTATTCTCTAACCACCTAACTGAAGTGTACTGAAAGCTGAAATGCAACATTTAGGAAATATAGTCCAGCTATAGATGAGTAGAAGAATTGTATTGAATTAGCTAGTTTAGCCTAATTGCAATTACCCCTCTATAAATGAGATAATTTATATGTAAAAATAAGAACATTGTATCTATCTATCTATGACTATTTTGTCAAATTTACACATTTCATCCCACATGAAATGCGAAAGGTTAGATACTTCACTAGACAGAAGGGCCGGCGCATCCTATAGGCGACTTAGGCAGTTGCCTAGGAATGGGCGCAAGGAGCACCGGTCCCCCTCACGTTGCAGCCGCCTGAGCCCTCTGTAGAGAGCCTATGGCTAATGCAGCACTGCCCCAGCTGGCGTGTCCATTAGGGCGCACCGGCCCGGGGGCGCAAGATTTGAGGGAGCGGAAGGAGGGAAACGCACAGCGCTTCCTCCTGCTTGTCCCTCAGTGTAGTGTGGCGAGCTCCGCTCCGGTCCATGGTACAGGAGCATCCGTTTCCTGTACCTGGCCAAACTGACAGGAAGTGCTCACTCAGTGAGGAATTCCTGTCAGTCCAGCCGGGTACAGGAAACGGATGCTCCTGTACCGCAGACCGGACTGGAGCTCGGTCACGCTACACAGGGTAGGGGAGGAGGGTGAGGAGAATGGGGGGAGACCACTATGGGAGGGAGGTGGGGGGTGAGGAGAGACCACTATGGGAGAGAGGAGGTAGAGGAGAGACCACTATGGAAGGAAGGCGGAGGGGGGAAGAGAGACCATATGGGAGGGGGGGTGAGGAGATACCACTATGGGGGGGTGAGGAGAGACCACTAAGGGTGGGGGCAAAGGAGAGACTACTAAGGGAGGTGGGTGGATGGAGGAGAGGCCACTATGGGGGGGGTGAGGAGAGACCACTAGGGGAGGTAGGGGGGTGGAGTAGAGACCACTATGATGGAGAGGAGGAGAGACCACTAGGGGAGAGGGGGACGAGGAGAGACCACAAAGGGTGGGGGAAGAAGATAAACCACTAAGGATGTTGGGAGAGGATAGACCACTAAGGCACAGGGGAGGAGAGACACTAAGGGGTGGGGGAGAGCTCTAAGGGATGGAAGGGAGAGCTCTAAAGGATGGGGGCAGGGGAGAGCTCTAAGGGATGGGGGTAGGAGAGAGCACTAAGGGACACTGTGCATATTTTGCATCTGTCAATAGTACACAGTGCATGCACCAAGGACAAGGGGGTAGGAGAGAGCTCTAAGGGATGGGAGAGCACTAAGGGATGGGAGAGCACTAAGGGACAGGAGGGGTGAACTCTAAGAGACAGGAGGGGAGAGCACTACGGGAAAGGGGGCAGGGAGATCACTAGGGAGTAGGGGGGGCACAAGAGAGGAAAGACCAATAAGGGATGTGGTGGGGGAGAAGAGACCAATAACGGACAGGGAAGAGCTGTAAGAGATGGGAGGAGAGAGCTCTAAGGGGCAGGGGAGAGCTCTAAGGGATTGTAGGCAGGGGAGAGCTCTAAGGGATTGTAGGCAGACGAGAGCTCTAAGGGATTGTAGGCAGACGAGAGCTCTAAGGGACAGTGGGGCAGGGGAGAGCAATAAGGGACAGTGGGGCAGGATACAGCAGTAAGGGACAGGAGGGGGGAACACTAAGGGATAGGGGGCAGGGAGATTCCTAAGGGACATGGGAGATCACTAAGGGACAGTGGGGCAGGGGAGAACACTAAGGGACAGGAGGGGAGAGCTCTAAGGGACAAGAGGGGAGAGAGGCTGAGAAAGGATGGAAAGAGATGCACAAAGGGGCTGGTAGGACTCAGCCCCTATCCTACTCCACAAACTCTCTATTTCACACTACACACACACACACACACACACACACACACAATGCATCCCTATACATACACAGAAACACACAGTGCATCCCTACACACACAGAAACACACCATGCTTCCCTTACTCACAGAGAAACACACAATGCATCAATTACACACACAATGCAGCCCTTACACACAAAGATAATTCACCCCTTGCACATATACACAGAAACACACAATGCATCCCTTACACACACAGAAACACACAATGCATCCCTTACACACACACACAATGCATCCCTTACACACATCCTGAAACACACAATGCATCCCTTACAAAAAACACACCCTGCTTTCCATCCCTTACACAAAAACACACTGCTTCCACTACACATAAACACACTGCATTACCTACACACACTTTAGATCCTCTACAATAACACATAACACATCCCCTACACACTCCACCCCCTGTGAGCGATCTCATGGGTGGAACATGTAGGTGGACTTATGGGCATACTCACCGTCAGGCCCTGGGGGCCAGACCTTGAGCTGTGTAAAGGGCCCCCAAAAATTGAGCTGCTTCCCATTCTCCCAGAACATTGAATTTTGTGACCACAGTTACAAACAGCCTCCAGAGATCCTGTTCTACACCAGACCAGTGGAGCCAGACTGCAGCCCAAGCCCATCATCATCCTCATCTGGTTGTAAGTAGGCAATCTAGTATATTATTAGTGACACTAATCTCTAATTTACCTCACATTAAATGGACACTATAGTCCCTAGAACCACTGCAGCTTAATGAAGTGGTTCTGGTGGCTATAGCCTGTCTCTGCAGGCTTTTTAATGTAAACACACACTGTATGAACCACTGGCATTAGTTCATATGGGTGGAGCATTGTGATGTCACATGGGGTGGGGGGTGGCAAATTTTTCTTTTGCCTAGGGCAAAAAAGAAAGAAAGAAAGAAAGACAGAGCTTTCTACAAAGCAGTAATATATATATATATATATATATATATATATATATATATATATATATATATAATTATCAATCCTTTTTTTTTAATGGATAGTTTAATAATGCAAACAGCACTATTTTGGGCTGCTGCATCTACTATTCTGTATTTTAATTGGTTTGCCGAGCTTGACCCGTTACGCTGGTTCCGAGCACATATGTGCGCCAAGGCCAGTGAGAGAAAGGGGAAGGAATGACTAAAGATAGAGGGTTTTAAAAAAAATAAATAAATACTGACAGCAACACTGGAAGGAAGAAACAATCTTCTCCTTGTAGACGCACTGCCTGCAAGTGGTATGATTTCCAGTTTGCCAGTTGTCCGCATGCACTGTGTACTGTTGACAGATTCAAAATATGCACAGAGTTCACATTGGAAGCCGCTGCCAATGTCACGTGTGCTGGTGGTGCCTACTAGCCCCCAGCACACATTTACAAATATTTTAGTATGTGCAGTGTTTCAAACCAAAACACACACATTCTGTCTCCTACCACCATGACCACCTCAAATCACTGAACATGTCATGGTGGTGGGAATAACCCTTTAAATTTGTTATACTCTAAATTAGTTACGTTTGTTTATTTAAACACAGTACAGTTATATTGTTCAACTGGTGAACAATGCAGATGTAATGACTTAGTAGACATGCTAAACAGGTTTTTACATGAATGTTGTCCCAACGCATCAACAAGACAGTCATGCATATTTTTGTGACACACAATCTGTATGTCTGCACATCACGAGAAAGTTAAGACCTTTGCATGATACTCTGCTCTCTGGCTGCGATCAGTTTGCAGAGCTTATAAGTAAGAAACAAACAAATGATATTTAGGGACTTACACATAAACTTGCTTTCTATCATGTTTCTATGTCATCAGCCATTTCAGTGTTTTGTGTAAATGGAAAATGTAGTAACTGAAGAAAATGATAATTTGAGATTATAAAAAGATTAATCCATGGTCTGCAATCATATTTGCGCAAGGTAAGTTTGTTTGTATTACTATAATAGATATACTGACTAAGTAAATATGTGCGTGAATACTTTTATATAAGTAGAAACATTTCTAATATGTGATTGCTTCAAGCAATCAGTACAAGGTTCTTCCGTATTAAAGTCAATCCTTTGGGTACTGCTCTTTTCATAGCAGTACAGTGAAAATGCTCTTTTGTTATATTTGCAATGAAGGCTTTTCACAGTTCTAATGTTTTTTTTTTTAATTTTTCATTAATATGTGACATAATTTCAATGTTAATTAATGGTTATCACATATAAGAATCTTTTTACTGTTGATATACAGTGTCTTGTGTTCATATTGGGTTTTCTTTTCTTTTTTTTAACATTTGCTCATTTTATTTGTACTTGTCTAGTATTTTGTGTTCTTACATTTATTTTACTTGCCAATTTTATTGGCAAGTTGAAATAAATACTCGGGAGAAATAATTCTGACTGATTACAGCATCTTTTTTGCACGTTGAAAAACGCGTCAGTGCTGTATTTAGACATTTATTTAGCCATTGGATTTTATTTGATTTGATTTGTGTTTTATTTGTGTGTATGGTGCTAATAAATTGGATATATTCCTACAAGGAGGTGCTGTTAGATTGATGGGGAAGCAGTAATTCCATACATATCAAGCTATCAGCTGAATAAAGTCCAGGAGGATTGCAGAGGATACTGGCAATCTGGTTAGCCAGATTGACAGTATCCTGTGTGTGCGCATGCTCCTGAATCCAGCACAGAGGCTTCTCAATGGGAAGTCTCTGATTGGTGTATTCCCTGGAACACACAGAACATCTCTGTTGGAAAAAGAGGGACGAGCTTGCAAATGCTGCAGACAACAGGTCTGCAGCTTTTGCAAGCTGTTTTATTTTATCATGTACCCACAATGAAAACATGCAGAACAAATACAGGCAATACAGGTATATCTACTGAATTGTAAAAAAAAAATGGTGGAGTATTCCTTTACATTTTTTTAAATTGTAGTTGTCCACTGAGAGCTATAATTATCATTAGCTGATATGTTATGTAAACTTCATTTGGATTCTCCTGCCTTTTGGTATGGCTAACCAGACTCAAGGCATCACTAGTCGGAGAGGAATTGAACACAGAGTTATTCACTAAAGTCAAAATCCAGAAAAACGGATGTCAAAAAAGTTATAAATTGATTTGCATGTCAATAAATGAAATAAGTATTTGATCCCCTATCAATCAGCAAGATTTCTAGCTCCCAGTTGTCTTTTACACAGATAATGAGCTGAGATTAGGAGTACTCTCTTAAAGGGAGTGCTCCTAATCTCAGCTTGTTACCTGTAATCAATCAATCAGATTCCAAACTCTCCACCATAGCCAAGACCAAAGAGCTGTCCAAGGATGTCAGGGGCAAGTTTGTAGACCTACACAAGGCTGGTATGCAAACCATCGTCAAGCAGCTTGGTGAGAAGGTGACAACAGTTGGTGCTATTTTGGCAAATGGAAGAGACACAAAATAACTGTCAGTCTGGTGCTCCATGCAAGATCTCAATGATCATGAGAACAGTGAGGAATCATCCAAGAACTACTAGGGAGGATCTTGTTAATGATCTCAAGGCAGCAGGGACCATAGTCACCAAGAAAACAGTTGGTAACAAACTTCGCCGTGAAGGACTAAAATCCTGTGGTGCCCGCAAGGTCCACCTGCTCAAGAAAGCACATGTACAGGCCCGTCTGAAGTTTGCCAATGAACATCTGGATGATTCAGAATAGAACTGGGTGAAAGTGTTGTGGTCAGATGAGACCAAAATCGAGCTCTTTGTCATCAACTCAGCTCGCCGTGTTTGGAGGAGGAAGAATGCGGCATATGACCCCAAGAACACTATCCCCACCATCAAACATGGAGGTGGAAACCTTTCTTTGGGGGTGTTTTTCTGCTAAGGGAACAGAGCAACCACACCACATTAAAGGGACCATGGGCAGAGGACCATGTACCATCAAATCTTGGGTGAGAATCTCCTTACCTCAGCCAGGGCATTGAAAATGGTTTGTGAATGGGTATTCCAGCATGGCAATGACCCAAAACACACAGCCAAGGCAAAAAAGGAGTGGCTCAGGAAGTAGCACATTAAGGTCCTTGAGTGGCCTAGCCAGTCTACAGACCTTAATACCATAGAAAATCAGTGGATGGAGATGAAGGTTCTAGTTGCCAAACGTCAGCCTCGAAACCTTAATTATTTGGAGAGGATCTGCAAACAGGAGTGGGACAAAATCCCTCCTGAGATGTGTGCAAACCTGGTGGCCAACTACAAGTAACATCTGACCTCTGTGATTTCCTACAAGGGTTTTGTCACCAAGTACAAAGTCGAAGGGGTCAAATACTTATTTCACTCATTGACATGCAAATCAATTTATTACTTTTTTGACATGCGTTTTTTGGGATTTTTGTTGTTGTTGTTGTTCTGTCTCTCACCGTTAAAATACACCTACCATTAAAATGATAGACTAATCATTTCTTTGTCAGTGGACAAACATTTAAAATCAGCTGGAGATCAAATACTTTTTACCTCAATGTATAATCATAAAAACAACTTTAGTTTAATGAATTAGTTTTGCTGTATAGATTGTGCTCTGCAGTCTCACTGCTCAATGCTCTGACATTTAGGAGTTAATTCAATTTGTTTATACATCTCTTGGCTGTGCAAGTAACATCTTCCTGCAAGTGACTTGCACAGCCTTCCTAAACACATCCTGAAAAGGAACCTATATATTTTAAGCTCTGTTATTGCACAGTCTGTTTAATTTAGGATTTCTTATATTCTGCTCTGTTAATAGCCTTCTATAGCCTCCTGTGAAAATTAAACCATTTTTTATGCAGGCTGTGTGAGCTATAGTCAGACAAGTTATGGCTAGGGCTGCATAAGCAGAAATAGAAACAAATGTGATCTCATTTCTAAATGGCAAAATAATTAAGCAGCGAGGCTGCATGGGCATGATCTATAAACGGATTAATTAAGTTAAAGTTGTTTAGATACTTTTAGTGTCCATTTAAGGTTAAAATAGCCAAATTGAAAACTGTAATGACTTGTCGACTGGCTTGGAAATGTGTCAATTTTATAGTGACGGATGTTGGATGTCATTTGTGATTTCATTGATCAAGCCTTAAAGCAACAAACTCTTGCTCGTTGTTGCATTTTGATTGGCTGGTTATACAAATATCTGTTCCTAAAAAGAGAAGTGCCCCTGGAACTCTCAAGCACATGTTCACGTTCTGGATTTTTGGACCCTCTACACTTTGGCTGAAAGTCAAATTGCTGTTTCATTACCTATTATTTTATTTGTCTGGAGTTCCTTGAACAGATTTTTGTTTATTCAGTTTTAAATTATTCTATGTAAAATCAACCAAACAGTTTAAGGCAAAACAGAATGATATATGATAAAACATACGTTCTATGGCTTGATTTTATTATAAGATATAAACATGTGAACTGCATTGAATAGCATTTTCCCAATAGATACTGTAGGAGATATGCTCTCGGTCTTGTAATATGATCCAGTTTCTAATAGAGGTATAAATGTAGAAAGTTAAAGTTTCACCATCGTCTTAAAAGAAATAGCAGTGAATGTTGCATGCGTGAAAGTTCTCTTGGATTAAAGGTGTTGCATATTTGTGCTGCTTTATTAAACAAACACCTGATGCATCTACCAGCTCACCAGGGCTTAGCTCAATGCAGACTGCTTCTGGAATTCATGAAGGAAGTGAATACAGGTAAGTTGTGAAGCCATTAGCAAATGGTTTTACTTACATCAGAGGGGCACACGGCAGTCCTAGCACCATAACCAAAACAGTGCCTGGAGTAATTTTGGCCAGTGTTTGTGACCAAGTGGCTACTGAAAAAGACTGGACATTTGCAATACCTTGGGTTAGTCTACTATTGCAAATGGTATGCCATCATGGTGGTAATTCTCATTCCTGGGCTACCATACGCTCTCAAAGGCAAATTTCAATGTGAAAAAAAGGAAAAATGTAACATGCTATATTTGACCCTATAACTTCTCAAAATGCCATAAAATCTGTAGATAGGAAGTACTGTTTTACACGTGAGACATCGCTGAATACAAATGTGTATTTTATTGCAGTAAAAGCAAACAGTATTATAACATTCACAGTAAAAATGTCACGTAGAACTAAAAAAATATATTTTTATCAAATTTTTTTTATATTTTATTCATATTAAATTATGTTTCATACCTAAATATTTGATGTTAAATGAAAACCCTTTTTCCCCTGAATAAAATGATATATAATAAGGGTGGGTGCACATAAGATGAAAGAGGTGAATTATGCCTGAACAGACATGTAGCGCAAATGCCAGATTTTGTTTGTTTTGTTTTGATCACATCGTGTACATTTGGCTCAGTCCTTAAGGGGTTAAACAATATTGCAACATATTTATGTGAAGGTTTAACTTAAAAGAACACTATTGTGCTGGGAATGTATTGTGGCTGTTTAGGTCCCTAGCCTCCCTTAGATTGCAAGAAAAAGGTATTTTATCTACCTTTTCTCCCGGGTCCCACCTCCATGGCTGAGATCATCAATGTTGATGATCTCAGGCAATCCAATGCTTACCCAATTGCACAAAAAGAAGCAAAATGCAGTACTGGGCCAATCAGCATCTCCTCATTAGAGATGCATTGAATCAATGCATCTCTATGGGAAGCGGTCAGCATCTGCATACTTAATTTTTTTCCTACACCGTGCGGGTTTCTCAGCAGCTGGCACTGCCTGGTCCAGATCAATTTGATGATCTCAGCCTATTCAATACTTTCCCATTGGAAAAATGCCATGCTGTGCCAGTCAGTAGCTCCTCCTAGAGATGTGTTGCATCAGTGCATGTCCATAGGGAGAGTTCAGTGTCTCCATGCAGAGCATTGCAACGCATAGTGCAGCACTGAGATAGGAAGCACTTGTAGTGGCCATCTGATTGACAGCCACTAGAGGTGTTACTACTCAGCAATGTAAACACTGACTTTTCTCTGAATGTTTGTATTGAAAAGCCTGTTAGATACTATAGTGTCCCTTTAAATTTTATAACTTGCTTTCAAATAAGTTAGGTCAGTATTAGGCTTTGAGTGAACTCCTGAACTACATGTGATACTCTAAAAATTTGAATATCGTGCAAAAGTTCATTTATTTCAGTAATGCAACGTAAAAGGGGAAACCAATATATGAGATACACATTACATGCAAAGCAAGATGGTTCAAGCTGTGATGTCATAAGTGCGATGATTATGGTTTACAGCTCATGAAAACCCCAAATCCACAATCTCAGTAAATTAGAATATTGTAAGATGCAATATTCTATCTAGGCTCACAGTGTCCCACTCTAATCAGCTAAGTAAGCCATAACACCTGCAAAGGGTTTCTGAGCCTTTACATGCTCTCTGTCTGGTTCAGTAGGAATCACAATCATGGGGAAGACTGCTGACACTTGTGCAGAAAACCATCATTGACACCCTCCATAAGGAGGGAAAGCCTCAAAAAGTAATTGCGAAGGAAGTTGGATGTTTCCAAAGTGCTGTATCAAACCCAATTAATAGAAAGGGGGAAACGTGTGGAAGAAAAAGGTACACAAGCAGCAGGGATGACCGCAACATGGAGAGGATTGTCAGGAAAAGGCCATTCAAATGTGTTGGGCACTTTCACAAGGAATGGACTGAGGCTGGAGTCAGTGCATCAAGAGCCACCACACACAGATGGATCCTGGACATGGGCTTCAGATGTTGTATTCCTCTTGTCAAGCCGCTCCTGAACAACAAACAACGTCAGAAGCGTCTTACCTGGGCTAAAGAAAAACAGACCTGGTCTGTTGCTCAGTGGTCCAAAGTCCTCTTTTCTGATGAAAGCAACTTTTGCATCTCATTTGGAAACCAAGGACCCAGAGTCTGGAGGAAGAATGGAGAGGCACACACTCCAAGATGCTTGAAGTCCAGTGTGAAGTTTCCACAGTCTGTGTTGATTTGGGGAGCCATGTCATCTGCTGGTGTTGGTCGACTGTGTTTCATTAAGTCCAGGGTCAACGCAGCCATCTACAAGGAGATTTTGGAGCACTTCATGCTTCCTTCCACAGACAAGCTTTATGGGGATGCTGACTTAATTTTCCAGCAGGAAAGCACCAAAGCCTGGTTAAATGACCGTGGGATTACTGTGCTTGATTGGCCAGCAAACTCGCCTGACCTGAACCCCATAAAGAATCTATGGGGCATTGCCAAGAGAAAGATGAGAGACATGAGACCAAACAATGCATAAGAGCTGAAGGCCGCTATTGAAGCATCCAGGTCTTCCATAACAGCTCAGCAGTGCCACAGGCTGATAGCTTCCATGCCACGCCGCATTGAGGTAGTAATTGCTGCAAAAGGGGCCCAAAACAAGTACTGAGTCCATATCCATGCTTATACTTTTCAGAGGTCCGATATTGTTCTATGTACACTCCTTGTTTTATTGATTGCATGTAATATTCTAATTTACTGAGATTGTGGATTTGGGGTTTTCATGAGCTGTAAGCCATAATCATAGCACTTATGACAAATCACAGCTTTAACTATCTTGCTTTGCATTTACTGCGTCTATCTCATATATTAGTTTCCCCCTTTACGTTGCATTACTGAAATAAATGAACTTTTGCACGATATTCTAATTTTTCAAGTATCACCTGTAATTCCCAACTATTTCCAAGTTAAATACTTCGATTTGCATGAGTTACTAACTCTCTTTCTCTGTCTCTCTACAAAAGTAGATAAATAAAATTAATATATGTGTATATATATGTGTATATATATATGTGTGTATATATATATATATATATGTATATATATGTATATATATGTATATATATGTATATATGTGTATATATGTATATGTGTGTATATATATATTTATTGTTAAAAAAAAAGAAGAAAAAAACAATTAGGAGTCCTTAACGTGTGTTAAGTGGAGTGAAGGTTAAAGAGACACTATAGTTCCCAGAACAACTACAGCTTAATGTAATGGTTCTGGTGTCTACAACCTGTCCCTGCAGGCAATTTAATGTTAATGCTGTGCTTTCAGAGAAGAGTCAGTGTTTACATTACTGCCTAGTAACAACTCTAGTGGCAACCACTCATACGTTACACGTTCCTGTTAGTGCTGCACAGTGTGTAGCATTGGCGTTCACACACTGCATAACGACACTGAACGTTCCTCATAGATATAAAATGATTCAATGCATCTCTATGAGGAGATGCTAATTGCTGCAGCGCAGCACTTTACTATGCATGCGCAATAGCCTCCTAATGCTTTCCTATGGGAAAACACTGGGCTGGCTGAGATCATCAAGTTTTATGATGATTATTTAGAGAGTAAACTCAGTTACTGCAAGGAAAGGGAGCTGGAGATCTAAATAGTTATTTTACCACTATATTGTCTGTAATACATGTTTGTGTTCATGACACTATAGTGTTCCTTTAATAAATAATTCACGTGTATTTGCAGTTGCCTCATACTCTTTGAAATTAGTATAAAATTGTGTCCTTTAGTGTCTGAATCTTTCTGAATCCTTGCATACATACTATTCTGTACAACAAAGAATGATGTTTTTGATTCTAAACTCTGATCTTAGATCCCCTCTATAATATTGTATTTTCTTACAATTGCAAGTTAACATATTTGACACCCTTTGTTTCATTCCTGTATCTCTGAGCTTAATTGCGTCAAATATGTTTTCTTTACGCATTGAACAGCATATAGAATAAATTTTCCACTATACAAATGGCATTTTATAAATATCTATAATTCAATATATGGAGTGTAGTTAATCTGTTTCCTTGACAATCGGTTAAATTAAATTATTATGTGGTTTTTTATGTTTAAAGTTATTAGTGTCAATTAGTGCTTGTAGTTGGTTTTAGATATTACATTTCCGTCACTTTCATGCACACACATTAATAATAATATTATTTAAACTATGATTCATCAAATCCTGCGTTTGAGAACTAATATAGATTCCAATTATAGATCTAATAAAAAAAACACTGAAATAATTCTAGAAATGTATTGAATTTGCATTCTGTGCTTCTACTAAACCAAAAAGAGAATAGAAATGCTTTTACATCTTTATTCTATGCCATCAATTCAAACGACACCCGAGAGACGGCCAAAACATAAATCAATATAAAAAAAGATTTACTTACAGTGCATGTTTATACACAGGAAAACTGCATGACTAGTAATAATCTTGGTTCAATGCCATTTTAATAGGTGTCAATATGATGACAGGCCCCTTCTGGTTGAGTTAAAGGAACACTCCTGGCACTATAACAACTTCCTCATCCTTCTACTTTTCTCAGATTCTTCAGTAAACAGTAAAAGCAGACTACCTTGGACTGGGGCGCCGCTGATTCCCATATGTAAGTTTCCCAAGCCGATTGGTGAATGTGGAACTACTAATTGGCTTAGAGCATCAACTGATGCTCTCAGCCAATTAGCTGAGAGCAGTTACATTTGGTGGTTAAAACATTCCGGGGGTCTTCCTGGCACCATAGCAACTTAAGTACAATTAAGCTGCTATGGTTCTTGAAAGTTCCCTTTAATTTTCGCTGCATATAGGTAAATTAGATAAATGCAATTTTCCAGTCTACTATAATTCTAACAAGGTATTAAATGAACTCCACAAAAATAGCAGTTTAGCAAATATACCCCCTGTAATAAAAATAAATAAGCATGCTTTTCTTTCAGGGGTATATTGTATCTTTGCTTGCAATAGCTGCAGCTCCAGCATTGAAATCGGTATTTTTATAAAATGAAACAAAGGGAATATTCACTACACACACAAAGCACTTCAGCAAGCTGAATTGGTTTATGTATTTGGAGTGTTCCTTTAAAATGTAAAATAACTTCTGTATGAAGCAGGCCAGCTCTTATTATTCAGGGACATTGGATAATTATTCGATTGCATCTGTCTATAGTACCTCTTATTTAGAGGCTGTGCAGAATGCAAAATTGGCTCTTCAAATTCCAAGGTAATGCTAGGACCAATTTATTCAATATCCTTCATGTATTTTGTATTCCTTTCTTTCCACCCATACTATTCCCACTAAGCCTGTTTATATTTTTAGAGTAGGGGGAAGGGGCTGAAAAATCACAAGCAGTGCCGACAGGGTCTGTCTCTCTGGCTGCTTGTATAGTGGTGTCATGTGTCCATCCAGTAACCTTTTTGATAGATCATGCTCCTCTCCTGAAATTGATTCTAGTAAATGTAATATGTATCATGCTAAGTATGAAAGCATCATGCATACGGCATTATGATAGGATTAAACTGTTTCTAGACTCATTGACCTTGGCTTGTTACTTTGACTATTCTACTGCTTTTTGTTCCAACCATTTTGCCTAATATAAGCCTTCCATTAAGTCTGACCACTCTAAAGACGCACGTATGCACACTTTAAAATCTTCCCCAAACCTAAAGTCCTTTAAGAGATCCCTCTCTACATACCTCAAAAAAGAATGCACCTGTCATGGTTGATTATATATTTCCTACCTGTTCTATGTTACATTTTGTATATATTGTGTATTAATATTGTTTTTGTATTTTATTGTGCCCTAATGTATCAATGCAATGTTTTGTGGACCCAGGACATACTTGAAAACGAGAGAAATCTCAATGTATCTTTCCTGGTAAAATATTTTATAAATGAATAAATCTGGATTTTTCTGCTTTTGGGGAATTTCATAGGATTCAAGCCCTGTGTGTTGGTCACCCTTACTTATTTTGGTAGAGGCTAAACATTTATCTGCTTATTCAAGTAAAATGTCAAAGGTATAGCTTTTCCCTGATGGCTGGGCTAGATGTCAAATCAAAAAGGCAACTGGCATATGTTAGCCTATGTGCCTGGGTTCCAATAGTAGTGTTCAAGCTACATATACTCTATGTATATAATCTCATATAAATGTCTTTTATAAATGTTTTATGCTGATACTTAAAATCATTGTAATTTAATTATTGGAAATGTTTCTTATATTTTAAGAGAAACCTATTTCTAAAATATTTACAGCAAAGGTTTGCACTGCCAAGTGGTTGTTTCTGAGGTTCTCAACCATACCCATTAATACAGGTATAGTCTGCAGGTGTGTTCAAAACAAGCAACACATGTTTTTCTTGATCCTATAGATGCATCCTGAAAATGAGGGGAAAACTATCCTGGATGGAATAATCTGCATTAGTGCTTTTTAAACTAGTATTCATCTATTTCACCATAGCTATGACCTGGACTCCTCATGTCTTGGTTTCAGGAAATGGTAAAGTCCAATGTATCCATTTTAGATTGCTGCTTTGTAATTTTTAACATGGTACTCTAATTCAAACCTACTTTGTGAATGCTAAACGAGAAAGTAAAGGTTCTGTTCTAAAAAGTGGTATAAAGCATTAAACATGGGGCAATTATCTTGGACACCAGCGGAACCAGCATGCACATTCCATTAGTGAATCCTTCTTAGAACAGAACACTGTGATAAATAACCCCTTTTGTCTCTAGTACACATATCACCAAGGCAAGCTGCTCTGAATATAAACATATAGTCACAGCAGCTTGCGATTATGATATTTATTTATTGAATTATTTATATTTTGCGGACAATGCCCTCAATGTATTACTTAGACTAGTGTTTCTATAATGTTTCTTTTAATTACATATTGCCTACATGTAACTTTCCTTTCAAAAGTGTAAAAAAAAAATCAATTAGGGGAACTTGTTTGATCAATAAAATGCATATTCATTGTCAAATAATATGCATTTGAATGATTTAAAATGTTCATTAGTCGATTGGATTTCCGTGCAACTTAATCTCTTTCAATGCAATAATTGACTATTGTATGCATATTTTTACATTATATACACATACACACGTGTGTGTGTGTGTGTGTGTGTGTGTGTATATATATATATATATATATATGTGTGTGTGTGTGTGTGTGTG